AACCAGCTAAAGATTCAGTGGCTCCTTGGCTGGCACCGGACCACTCCCATGCTGCCCTCTCCACACTCTCAGATACCCTGTTTGTTATGCACCAGCTACTGCCACTTTGCCCATGGTTTAAGTGGGCACAGTCAAGAGTTCCACATCAGGTTTGCTGGATGGACAGAGATTGCTGGATGGACAGAAATCTCCGTCTCATTTAAACCCTCTCCAGTGTGGCGGATCAGGGGTTTGGAATTGCTCTGTTATTTCAAACGATAGTGATACTTTATTTAACAAAATTTTCAACCCACTTAAAAATCACCAAGCAGTTTACATAAAACAATATAAGATAATCATAAGAAAACACCGATAAAATCAGCAGGCTTTAGAAGCAAGTAGATATAATGAAACTATCAAAGCCAGATGAAATCAACAGAGTTGAAGAAGAAGTACGCAGAATAAAATGACATGTCTGCATATCCTGGCTTAAAAATGGGGGAGGTGGATTGTGTTAGTAAGCATCAAAAACACCTCCAGCAAGCCTGCTCTGCTCCTTTTAAGTGGGACCCTAGGCTTCTTTTCCAGGGTCCTGTCCTTATGGTACCAAAATTGTTCTGTACTGTATAGTATATGAGGAATCCAGCACAATAATATATCAGATTAGGCTAATTTAAGGGCATAAAAAAGTCCTGCTGGATCAGACCAATGGCCCATTAGGTCCAGCATCCTGTTCTCACAGTGGTCAACCTGTGGGAAGCCCAAAAGTGGAACCTGGGTGCAACAGTGCTCTCCGCACTTGTGATTCCCAACTCTTCAGAGGCATGCTATCTATTTCCAACAGTGGAGAGAAAACATAGTCAACAAGGCTGGTGGTCATTGATTAGTCTTCTACTCCATGAATGTGTTGAATCGTCTTTTAAAGCCATCCAAAGTTGGTGGTCATCGCTACATATTGTGGGAGCAGATTCCATAGTGCAAAGAATTGCTTTCTTTTGTCTGTCCTTAACCTTATAGATCATTCTTAACTTCTTAAAGGTACACTCCAGTACCCATTATTACTCATGTGTTTGTGCAAACAAGTTTGTCACTGAAATAACATATCCATAAATGAATGCCCAGTTCTCTGTTGGATGTGAATCTTCACCAGAGCTACTTAACGATGAGGGCTGCTTGATTCTCTTTAATGAACCACAGGAATGGAAGGCTTATCAAACCAGACACTTGTCCGGAGCATGACTGCATTAAAAAAAAAAAGACAACTAATTGAGGTGCAATTTTGCACAGGTTGTGGCAAAAAGCAGCTTCCTGGACATGGGTCTCCCCACATCTTTAGTTTAGAAGCCCTAAGGCAAACCAAGCTTCTTTGTCAATTATAGAAAAATCAATGAAGATACTGTTTGGGACTCCTTTTCACCATTCAGCACGGATTATATCCTTCAGTTTCGAGCAATGATTCATTTACTTCCACCCTCTCTTGGGGGCTACTGACATCCTGCTATCTCTAAAGAATGTGAAGCCCAAAACACCCTATTCTTTGTTTCTTTCTACAACATGGGTTCCCCCACCTGCCTCACCAATGCACAGGACATTCACCTGGACTTGGGGGCTGCTTCAGTGGGGCACTTCACACCTTTTTTACCTGCAAACTTTGGGAGGAGGGGGGGAACCCTGGAAGTGTGCACATTCAAAGTTACTGTACAGCTATGGCCTCATTCGCACAACATCTCAAGGGAGAAAATTGTTCCTGGACCTCAAAGTGCAGGTGGAAGGTTGCATTTTACCCTCTCCTCCATATTAAAATAATATCCCAGCACTATCAGTTTGTGGGGTGCCTGGACTCCCACTTCTAATTCTGGTGTGCCAGACATTGAATTTAGCATGTTAAAATATACAGTGGTGCCTCGCAAGATGAAATTAATTCGTTTCGCGAGTTTTTTCGTCTTGCGGTTTTTTTCGTCTTGCGAAGCACGGTGTCGGAAAAGTTTTGGAAAAGCTTCAAAAATCACCAAAGTCTTCAAAAACCTCAAAAAGGCTACCACACCGCAGTGCTATGAGTTGCTCCTCGAAGTCAAGTCGCAACTGTATTAACGGTTTTAAGAAAAAGGAAACAAACTTGCAAGACGTTTCCGTCTTGTGAAGCAAGCCCATAGGGAAAATCGTCTTGCGAAGCAACTCAAAAAATGAAAAACCCTTTCGTTTTGCGAGTTTTCCGTCTTGCGAGGCATTCGTCTTGCGAGGTACCACTGTAAACCATGTTTTTAGAAGAAGAAGAAGCCAGGTTTGCTGGCTGATGAAGTAATCACCTGAAGACATGGGCCATTAAGAGAAAGCCACTTCCGGCCTGCCCAGGAGGTGAGGTTGCGGGCTTCAGCCCCCGCGAGAGCAGGGGAATCCCGGCCGCGTCCTCCACCCAGCCAGCCAATCGGGTGGCTGGGGGGCGTGGTCTGCCCTATTTAGGGCCAGCGCGGCCGGGGCTCGCCCTCTTTTGCCGGCTAGCCCCCACGTTTTCCCACCCTCCCTCCCTTTAGGTAGGTTTCTGACTTTGCTATGGACTTCGGTCTGTCGCCACAAGGGGCATGGTAGGAATTTTTCCCAATTGGCAATTTACAGCCTTTTGGTTTTTCGCCTACCTCGTAGCAACTCGTCACAACTTCTCGGCATTGGCGGTTAGGCATTGGTAAGAAGGGGTTTAGAGGATGGGGGGGGAGGAACGCCATCACCTCCCCCCAGAGAATGAAGGGTGGTCCGATAAAGGACTCTGGGGGGCGTGGCCCTGTCCGAAGCCTACGGAGGTGTGGGCCTAAGGCACGCCCCCGAGCGGTGACCCGGGGGATCTCCTAGTTGACGTGCCTCAGCAGGAGACTCCCCCACTATGGTGTTAACCCTTCCCGTGTCTCCAGCAAATGGGCTGGAGCCGGATAGTTGATAGGACCAATGCCTAAGCCAATGCCTCTCATTCCTGAATTAAATAAAGCTGTGGCCTAATTCGCCCATTTAACCTTAAATTCTGGTGTCTGGTGTCTTTATTTATCCTTGGTGGGGGGCCGGAACTCGCCACGCAATGCAAGACAGGATGATGCCCATTAAGAAATTGTTCAACAAGGCAAAGATTGTCAGCTGGATGCAGAGGGGTAGAGCCCCACCCTGGGCTATGGGTAGCTAGCAAGACAATGCAGAGTCCAGAAGGGAGAGTTTAGGAATTGCAGGGGGCTGATGTAAGGAAGAGGGGAAATAGCTGTGTTTTGGGAAACAATTTGCAAACTGGAGAAAGACTGCAAAGTTAGCCTACGCTGCTGCTTCTAATAAGGACCTGGCCCATGGAGCCAAAAAGGTTCTCCACCCCAGCATTGTCCCCTCCCTTGTGGTTGAGTTAGGCTTCTGGCAAACATGCACAACAGCTCCAATCAGAAAGCCAGGATGGACTGCAGTGCCTGTTGATTGGAGGATCAGTCCAGGTTTCCAGATGGAAAGCTTTAATCAATTCCAATTGGTTCGTTTAAACCATGGGTAGGCGAACTAAGGCCCGGGGGCCGGATCTGGCCCAATCGCCTTCTAAATCTGGCCTGCGGACGGTCCAGGAATCAGCGTGTTTTTACATGAGTAGAATGTGTGCTTTTATTTAAAATGCATCTCTGGGTTATTTGTGGGGCTTGTGAATTCGTTCATTATTATTTTTTTCAAAATATAGTCCGGCCCCCCACAAAGTCTGAGGGGGGACTGGCTCCATGCTGAAAAAGTTTGCTGACCCCTGGTTTTGGTTGCCAGCAGATCTTTCCTGGATAGTTAAATAAATAAATACCTATGCAAAGTTACATTTCGAATTGCTAAATAATAGGAAATATAGAAGGAGTTATAAACTATAATAAATATATAAACATTAATACTATATAAATATCATATAATTATATAAAATAAAAACTGCAGAGCATCATCTTAGCTAAAGTGGTGCTTCAGGTTAAGAACAGTTTCAGGTTAAGAACGGACCTCCGGAACGAATTAAGTACTTAACCTGAGGTACCACTGCACATTCAATGCAGAGATCTCTACTGAGTATGCCAAGCAACATGGGCATAGCCAGGATTTTTTTGGGGGGTGGGGGCAGGACACCCCTCCTGTTACCATCCTCTGTCTGGCTCTGTCCAGCAGATTCAGAATGAAATGTCTCAACGACAGTTGTTTTAAATTCCTTTCTTTTGACCCCAAGTGCTCAGGGGGAAAAAATCTATCAAAACATTTCAAATGTTCTGATTATTTCCACTTTGAGTTAAGTGTTTTTATTTACAGTGGTATCTCGGGTTGTAGGGGACGCGGGTGGCGCTGTGGGTAAAACCTCAGCGCCTAGGACTTGCCGATCGCATGGTCGGCGGTTCGAATCCCCGCGGCGGGGTGCGCTCCCGTCGTTCGGTCCCAGCGCCTGCCAACCTAGCAGTTCGAAAGCACCCTTGGGTGTAAGTAGATAAATAGGGACCGCTTACCAGCGGGAAGGTAAACGGCGTTCCGTGTGCTGCGCTGGCTCGCCAGATGCAGCTTGTCACGCTGGCCACGTGACCCGGAAGTGTCTGCGGACAGCGCTGGCTCCCGGCCTATAGAGTGAGATGAGCACACAACCCTAGAGTCTGGCAAGACTGGCCCGTACGGGCAGCGGTACCTTTACCTTTTACCTTGGGTTAAGAACTTAATTCGTTCTGGAGGTCCGTACTTAACCTGAAACTGTTCTTAACCTGAAGCACCACTTTAGCTAATGGGGCCTCCTGCTGCTGCTGCGCCGCCGGAGCACAATTTCTGTTCTCATCCTGAAGCAAAGTTCTTAACTCGAGGTACTATTTCTGGGTTAGCAGAATCTGTAACCTGAAGCATATGTAACCCGAGGTACCACTGTATTGCCTTAGTGAAGGACTAGGACTTCTTGTTTGAGCGACAGGGAGTGCTGTGCCTTCCTGTGAGGCGTAGTGTTTTACGAACTACAATTCCCAGAGTTCCTTATTCCATGCTGACCTTCTTCTGTGCATCAGGGTTGCAGATTAACTGCATGAGAGGGAACAATTCCCCAGGAGAGAGGCCTTTATTGCAGCAAGAGCAGATGGAGCCATTTCCACAACTAAATGTGAAGGCCCCAGAAAGCTGGATGTGTGAGTAAAGAGCCTAACCTTAATTTATAGGTTTAGAGGAATGCCAGAGATTTATTTATGTCTGAGGGGTTTTGTGCTTGAACATTCTTCCTCAGAATTCTGGACATCTATCGCGATTATTTTATTGTTTCCAGCATTTAGGCCTCGCTTTCTTAAAACAAGAACAAAAAAACACCCTAAAAGGTGCCTCAAAGCGACTTACAACTATATAAAATCCGAACAGTGTGTGTGTAAATCATTTGAAATCAGATACGTACGATGAAAATGCTATAGAACAGAAATTTCTAGAGCCCCTTGAAATAGCAGTAAGCGTTTCGTTTTAAAATACGTGTGTATCGCGACATTTTTTGGATCGGAAGTAAACATGCATTTTTTCAAATTGGTGTTAAAAAGGTGCTTCTTTGTACAGGGTGAGTCCTTTAAAAGAGGCCCCGTGGATACAGAGTACAGTGGTATCTCAGGTTACATACGCTTCAGGTTACAGACTCTGCTAACCCAGAAATAGTGCTTCAGGTTAAGAACTTTGCTTCAGGATGAGAACAGAAATCGTGCCCACGGCGACGCAGCAGCAGGAGGCCCCATTAGCTAAAGTGGTGCTTCAGGTTAAGAACAGTTTCAGGTTAAGTACGGACCTCCGGAACAAATTAAGTACTTAACCCAAGGTACCACTGTACACATGTTCCACGGGGCCTCTTTTAAAAGACTCACCCTGTACAAGACATGAAAAGGCCCCTTTGAGTTTACTGTTGCCGCCAGCGAAAAGGGATCCTTTAAAAATGTCCCATGCCATCTCTTAGCTCAGGCAGACTAGTCCTCAAAGTAACCGCCCCCCAGTCCATGCTGCAAAGCCCCACAGCTTTCTGCACATGCTCAGAACCACTCTTTTCTTCTGTATTCCTTCAATATAGTCCAGGGACTATTTCAAAAAATTAAATAACATGATGAGTGTTCACCAGCGGTGGCCTAACTTGGAGGGGTTTTCACAGTGACAACAAGTTCTAACAAAGGTAGACATAAATTGTTTTCCTGAAAACTGTACAGTGGTGCCTCTAGTTACAAACTTAATTCATTCCAGTGGTCCGTTCTTAACCTGAAACTGTTCTTAACCTGAGGTACCACTTTAGCTAATGGGGCCTCCCGCTGCCGCCGCACGATTTCTGTTCTCATCCTCAGGTAAAGTTCTTAACTTTACTACTTCTGGGTTAGTGGAGTCTGTACCCTGAAGTGTTTGTAACCTGAAGCGTTTGTAACCCGAGGTACCACTGTATAACTTTGCTCCTGGCTTTTCAGATGCTGCAAGACTACAACTTCCATCATCCCTGGCCATTGGACATGTTGGCTAACAGTTGGGAGTCTAATACCATCTGTCATCTGGGCCGTGTCCAGAAAGTGGTGGTGGGGGATGAGTGTTCAGACCCCTGGGTCCTCACTTGTGGGGTGCCTCAGGGTTCTGTCCTCTCCCCCATGCTTTTTAATATCTATATGAAGCCGCCGGGAGAGATCATCAGGGGGGTTGGGCTGGGTATCCATCAGTATGCGGATGATACCCAGCTCTACCTCTCTTTCAAATCGGAACCAGTGAAGGCAGTGAAGGTCCTGTGTGAGTGCCTGAAGGCGGTTGGAGGATGGATTGTGGCTAACAGATTGAGGTTGAATCCTGACAAGACAGAAGTACTGTTTTGGGGGGACAGCGGGCAGGTGTGGGGGACTTCCTGGTCCTGCATGGGACAACTGTACCCCTGAAGGACCAGGTGCGCAGCCTGGGAGTCATTTTGGACTCACAGCTGTGCATGGAGGCACAGGTCAAATCTGTATTCAGGGCAGCTGTCTGCCAGCTCCATCTGGTACGTAGGCTGAGACCCTACCTGCCCGCGGACTGTCTTGCCAGAGTGGTGCATGCTCTGGTTATTACTGGATTACTGTATTTTAATATTTTGTGGGAAGCCACTCAGAGTGGCTGGGGAAGCCCAACCAGATGGGCGGGGTATAAATTATTACTATTACTATTACTATTATTATTATCTGGATAGCAATCTATCAATCTATCATGGATGCTTTAGTTAGGATTCCTGCATTGCAGAGGGTTGGAGTAGATGTTCTCCGGGTTCCCTCCCAACTCAAGAAGGACACTGACAAACTGGAACGTGTCCAGAGGAGGGCAACCAAAATGGTCAAAGGCCTGGAAACGATGCCTTATGAGGAACGGCTAAGGGAGCTGGGCATGTTTAGCCTGGAGAAGAGGAGGTTAAGGGGTGATATGATAGCCATGTTCAAATATATAAAAGGATGTCACATAGAGGAGGGAGAAAGGTTGTTTTCTGCTGCTCCAGAGAAGCGGACACGGAGCAATGGATCCAAACTACAAGAAAGAAGATTCCACCTAAACATTAGGAAGAACCTCCTGACAGTAAGAGCTGTTCGACAGTGGAATTTGCTGCCAAGGAGTGTGGTGGAGTCTCCTTCTTTGGAGGTCTTTAAGCAGAGGCTTGACAACCATATGTCAGGAGTGCTCTGATGGTGTTTCCTGCTTGGCAGGGGGTTGGACTCGATGGCCCTTGTGGTCTCTTCCAACTCTATGATTCTATAATTCTATGATTCTATAAGTCTAAAAGGATGCCAGCATGGTTAAATCATAGAGTCTAGTGACTATGAAAAAACAAACAAATAAAGAGGACCAGATGTGGAGGGCCAAAGGTTCCTCAACCCTGCATAAGAATAAGAATATGAATAATTAGAATAATAATGATTAGAATAATTAGAATAATGTTAATATTCCACCCAGCTGACTGGGTTGCCCTAGCCACTCTGGGTGGCTCCCAACAAGATATTTAAATAATATTAAAAGAACAGTTCAGTTTTTAAAAACCCACAAACACAAAGGAAAGGGTCCCCAGCTACACACACAGACACACAAAGAGAAAATGAAACTTGTAAAAAATATAAGAAATAATTAAGATTAATGGAAATAGCAATACAATACAATACAATACACACAATACAATGCATTGCCTGGAAGTCGTTCATTAGGCAAGCGTTCACATAACGAGTCTAGAATTTCCGTGGATTCCTATGGATACATTTCTCATCAGGGATTTGCCCAGTCTCTCCGCACATTCCTTCTCTCCGTGGTTTCTTCCCGCAATGGCTGCATCCAGCAAAAGAGAGAAACAGGAAAAACTGAATTGCCCCACATATCTCTCCCACACTCTGATTTGTCCAATCTCACTCTCTTCCTGCCTGCATGGTTTCTGCCCAAAAATACTTGCTGCCAACCAGCAAAGCACAAACAAGCAAGGAAGTCAGGAAGTGGAAAAACTCTGGATGTTCAGATTTTGGAATCTGTGGAGTGTGTCGCTGGGTTTGGGCACAATTCTTTATGTTTGGATAAGTAACTTTTTGCAGAGCGAGCTGGCAGATAGCAGGATATGTGTGTACATAAACAACAGTGAGGCATGAAAACATACAAAATGAACTAATATATTGCAATAATAATACATAAGCGACTGTAGCTCAAAAAAACCACTGAACAAACTGAAAATTCCCATTCTCCTGTTTATTTTATGTGTTTTTATATGTGTTTTCATGCTTTTGTTGTTATGTATTGCAATCGTATTTCCACTGGCAACGTTAATTGTTTCTCAGATTGTTTCATCCTCTGAGCCCAACATGTTGTGATTGCTACAGTTGCATTTTAGAGCATCTGCAAAAAAAACACCAACAAAAATAATCAGGGTCTGAAAAACACGGGAGGAAGAAGGCGGAAAACAGTGCGATGCAACAGTTTCATAACTACGTTGTCATGAGGATCACCTGTAAAAAGTGAACAAACGAGGAATGGCAATTGCAAGAGAAAAGGTTTGGTGCAGAACACCAGACCAGATTGCGTCTATTGTCAAATGCCCTTGAAAAGGTTGTCCTCCAATGTTCAAACTGTCACAGCAGAGTTGAACATTTTGGCAATGCCTTGCTCCTGGTGGATCTACAAGGAAGACAATTCATCTAACATCAGAAGCCACTTACGGTTAATCTCAGCTGGGAAGCTGTTTTACAGATTGTCAAGAAAGGAAGTGTGAGAGCAATATGTTTTGCTGGTGTTTCAGAGTGCACTGAAAATGGACAGTTTTGCTAATACCTTGGCTTGCCCCATTTCCTTCTTCCTGGCCACGTAATTTGAACATGGGAGGAAACATGCGCCATCCATGTTTTATCCGCCATTCCCTCATTGGGTCCTCAATTTGAGGGGAAAGCCATTGCAGCTTGTGGGCCATTGCAAACACGGGAACATTGTAGGCAAGGCAGAAGACACAGCCCCAGATCAATTAAAGCTACTTTGGCTGAGCCACAAATCCTATGTCAAGTCTTTTCATGTTTTCTACTTGACTTGTGATAAACCACATCTGATTCATTCATAACTTTCACTTGAACTCCAGCAACTACAAGGTGGGGGACCTCTTGCAGGTAGCTGGAGGAATTTTTGTGGCTCTTGCTGTAAAAGCAGGCAGTGTCGTTTCTAGTAATGGGAAAAGGGAGTTTTTATATAAAAATCAAAGTGGCCCCTATCAATCAATCAATTGACAAAACTTTATTGCCTTAGCCATCGGGCATAGCAATCAGTCATACACATCAATAACTATAAACAATACAGAGGGATAATAAAATAGCGCTATTACATGTAAGATTCCACATAACAGCCCACAACTTTGGCTCCAGGAAACTTTTCCAGCAACAGAAACCAACAGAACACTCTAATCTCTTACATCTGTTTGGTGGCGGTAGGAATTTCATGTTTTTTAAAATAATTAATTTTATTGAAAGTTTTCAACATAAGAGACAATAAAACTATTGTGTTTTTCCATGTATAACACGCCCCCATGTATAAGACGACCCCTATTTTGGGGGAATAAAATTTAAGAAAATGGGGGGAGATGGCCCAGAGTGGTTGAGTTTTTTGGGGGGGGGGGAATGCTGAAAATCACTAACCAGACTGACACACGCTGACAACCGCTCGTGTTGCACTAGCCAACATGCGTCTGCCCGCTCACCAACAGCAAACGACAGTCGCACGCCCAATTGCCCAAGTGGCAGCCAATCCACAGCAAACCTTGCCACAGTAACCAATCACCCACCCTATTACCGCAGCAGCAGCAAACCCAAGGCAGCACTTGATGCAGCCACAAATCACCCACAATATCACTGCTGACAAACTCCTACTCGCGGACGCAACCTATCTCCCATCCGTCCCCCCCATGCACTCTCCGGGTATAAGAGGACCCCCATTTTTTAACATTATTTTAGAGTAAAAAAAAACTCGTCTTGTACACGGAAAAGTTCGGTAATCTAAAAAATAATAATAAAGGACATGGCACTAAAGAGAAAAGAAGATAAACGGAAGGGAAAGAAAGAGAAGGGGAGGGAAATATTTTTTAAAAAAGCAATAAAACACAATGCCATATGCATATAGCCCTCTGTCACAATTATATCTTAATTCTTAATCCACACATAGAGGAGTGAATCTTCCCAGCTCTCAACGTTTTTTATAAGTAGGCCAATAAGAATTTCTGGATAAGAGGTGAAATCTCTTCCCTAGCAGACTTATACAGTGTGCAGTAAAGGAAATAAAGCATAACCCTCACTACTCTGTCCTCTCCTGTTCTACCACTTCTGTAGAAGGCCTCCAAGACTACGATTCTATGATTTCTATTGTTGGAGGGTCCAATTAGACCCTGCCAGAGCCATGACTCATCTACCAGATGCCTTCATTTGCCAAATTGAGGTTAGGGTTTCCAATGCAAGCAGTATCCGTTGCTTGGTGAACCACTCACACACACCCAGCTCTAATTGGCCATCTAAATTATAGCCTGATTTGGCTACGTGGCTGTGCATGGACTATGCTGGTGTGGATTGTAGAGGTTCATTGAAAGCTATTGCAGAATACTGCCACTAGGCTGTTGGAGTGAGTGCCCAGTCACTCCTGTGTTGAAAGAGCTGCCAGTATGCTACCAGGACAGTTTTATTGTCTTGCTATGGGCATGTATACAAAACAACTGGGGACAGGTGACCTCGAAGGAATGTCTTACCTTGTATACCACTGCCTAGTCACTTCAATCATAGACTCTCTTAGTAATGACCTATTCTCCCAAGGTTCAGCTTGCGTCCTCTGAGACCAGAGCCTTTAGCCTGCTGGCAGCTGCCCTTCGGAATGTGCTTCCAATGAACATCAGGCAGGCCTCTACCTGATGCTGTCTTCAAGCTCATCTTTTCACCCAAGTTTTCTTTGAGATCTACTGATTTGTGATGTCCCATCCTGCCAAGTTCCAGGTGAGGATGTTGAGATCTTTCTTGGCTCTACTGAGTCAACAATAAGAGCTCTCAGGTGGTCTCACTGTGGCACCGGCTCCAGTGTGGGTGCCTGTATCACCGACATTTAATCTTAGGGATGCGAGGTTTTTTGATGCTGGGCTCTTATAGAAATGACTAAATGTTAATTCCCCTTCCCTAGGTGGAGACTTCTTCCATCTAGGGTAGGAGATCCTGTCGTAGGGTTTTGGGCGCGATGCTGGAATAAGGGTATCATCTCTGGAGAGAGGTTTTTTTTGTCGCCCATGCCCTATGCACGGGGATGTTATTGGGGTAGGTTATGTATGTTGTCGAAGCTACCAGCATGAGTTTGACCAAACTGCGGGAGGCAGTGGAAGACAGGAGTGCCTGGCGTGCTCTGGTCCATGGGGTCACGAAGCTAATTCACAAATCTGGGGACTGTCCCTGGGAAATGGGGGTGTATGGTAACCCTACATTAATGCTGCTTAAGGTTGCAAGATTCAGTGACTCTTGGGCAGGGCCAGTGGGGTTAGCCCTTAGGGTATCTTCAGTAGCTATATGGCTAGTTACCACTGGATGGCAGTAGTCTAGGATGGTCTTTTGTAGGAGAGGCGGGGCTGTTTCTTTATTGCTCTGCTTCCTCTCTTGGGCTCTAGTTAGCACCATGGTGGATATATTGCACATTAGTTCTGGGTACGTCCAAAGGCTCAGTGGCTCTCAGTGACAGACAAATGGAGCTAGGTGTAGTGGGCAGGCTCGCTAACAGGGAATTTCCTCCAAGCCAGGGGGAGGCAGGCAAATAGAGTGGCCGGCCACAAGAGTTCAGTTGAATTAGCACAAAGTGGACTTAGATAGTTTCCTCGCCTCAAAAGCAACAACAGTCTCATTTCTCATGCTTTTCCAGGACTCAGAAGAAAGGAGGAGAGGGGAGACTAAGGGGTGAAGGAGCTCACAGTAATTAGAGTAGATTGCAGTCATTCTGTAATTCCGCACCGACAGCGCCGGGCCCTAGAGTTGGCGGTATCATCTGGTGTTCCTTCTCTGTGAAGCCTGTTGGCTGTATGCTATTCACCACCATTTTTTTTTTCTTAATGTTGGTGAGCTTAGAAATTTTGGCAAATAAATAAATTCAATATTAAATGTCCTTAACCCTAGTGGCACCTTGGAGATGAGCACATGATTCTTGTGGCATAAACTCTGGGAGGCCAGAGCCCATTTCATCCAATGCACCTGACACAGTGGCCTCTATTTTGTGGAAGGTTATGACTGAATGGTTATAGCATTTGGCTCTTTGTTGCCAGGTCAGACTAATGCAGAAACTCTTCTGGAATTTACAGAATTCCCTAGGAAGAGGGACTAACTGCCAATCTAATTTTAATCCGTAGGATAAGTTTGTCCATTGGGTATTTTCTGACTTGGACTTTGGTTCTGATTTGGAGTTTTAACCTTGCTTTTAGCCACGTATTTATCTTCCTGGTGTATAGTTCCTTTGTTGTGGCCGTGGCTAAGATAATAAAGTTTGTTGACTGATTTAGCCTCTTATCTAACAATTCTCCAGGTAGCCACAGGTGAGTGGGTGGATTTCTATGCAGAGATGAGCAAATAAGCTGGCAGATGATGCTCCAACCCTCTTCCACTAGCTTGCTTGATTTCAGCGCTAACTGCAAAGGAAGGGACTGGCAGAGGGAGAATGGACCACTCCATCCTCCTTAGGAACATAGGGAGATGCCTTTTACAGAATCAAGTCATTGGCCCATCTTGGTCCCATGTTGTCTTCATTGACCTACAGCATCTCTCCAGGATTTCAGACTTTCTCAGCCTTACTTGGAGATGTTGGGAATTGAACCAGGGACCTAATGCATGCAAAGCAGATGCTGTACCACTGAGCTGTGGCCCTTCCCCAAGTCCACTTGTCCCCTTGGTAGAGGAAGGCCACTTTCCCTTCTTCCACCAGTCCATTTGGAAGAAAGCAATTTTATTTAATTTTTACTAGCCATCTAAGAGACTAATAGCTTGCATCTGCATGCTGACTGCAGAGTCTTCTCCCTGTTTAGCCTTTTAGCAGGCTCGTAACTTTTGTGAGATTGACTGACTGAATTGATTGACTGGTTTACTGACTGATTGATTGATTGATTGATTGATTGATTGTAAAGACTACACTTTTTTTGTGAATTGTTGTTGTTTTTAAAAAACCTCCTTCCTTAGGAGCAATAATCAGATTATTTGGTTTTCAACAGCCACCACAACAATCAACACACACATCTCATTAAGATGGCAAACAGGGCTCTGAGCAGACTTTCTCTCTTAGGAACAATTATTCTAAGCTTTATTTCATTTTTTAAAAATTATAGTTATATTATTGCTTTCTTCCATGATGCTAAATGCAGATCACATGAGACCTTCAGCTGGTCTCTCATCCAGACCCTGCTTAGTTTTTGCATAACTGTTGCATCATGTGGCTTTCAGCCATACCTTAAGACTTGCATATAGACTACAACGAGAACCTAGGCCAAACTACAAGACAGATCCTGACATACATCTGTTTGGAAAATTATGCATGGATGGGCTGTGACTCCAACAGACAGGGTCTAATTTGATTCATCTAGTCAGCTCCGACTTGTATCTCTGCCAGCCAGGACCTGCCAAGGAGGTCAAAAAGCTGTACTCATCACTGTACTGTACTAAGATACCTCTTGGTCATCTTACAACCTATGCATAATTTTAAAATCGATAAGTTTGTTTGGAATCAGGTCTATATTTGTACTTTTCCGGGCTGCAAATGCACTACACTGGAGTCTATTAGCAAACAGTGATGATGCGCTGACTTCAAGGGCCAACCTACATAAGATGAATGAGAATTCATTTTGAAACACACATCCCATACCTACAATTCAAGAAGGTGTGTCCTACATTGTCCAACTGTGTCCAGGTTCTTGTAACTTATATACAACTATACTTAAGTATATAACATTCTTGGTCCTTTTGGTGTGGATAAAGTGGATAGGGTAAGTGGCGCATCTAGTTCATCCTGTTATCACAGTGATTAACCAGATGCCTGTGGGATACCCTGGAGCAGAACCCAAGCACAAGAGCCCTCTTCCCTCCTGTGTTTTCCAGCAACTTGTATTCAGAAGCATTACTGCTTCCAGCCATGGAGGCAGAACATAACCATCCTGGCTAGCAGCCTTCTCCTCTATGAATGGGTCCAGTCCTTCCAGGTTGGTGGCCATCAGTGCCTCCTTTGGGAGTAATAATAGTAATTTATTTATACCCCACCCATCTGGCTGAGTTTCCCCAGCCACTCTGGGCTGCTCCCAATCGAGTGTTAAAAACAATACAGCATTAAATATTAAAAACTTCCCTAAACAGGGCTGCCTTCAGATGTCTTTTAAAGATAGGATAGCTTCTTATTTCCTTCACATCTGAAGGGAGGGCATTCCACAGGGCGGGCGCCACTACCGAGAAGGCCCTCTGCCTGGTTCCCTGTAAACCTGACTTCTTGCAGTGAGGGAACCACCAGAAGGCCCTCGGTGCTGGATCTCAGTGTCCGGGCAGAACGATGGGGGTGGAGACGGTCCTTCAGGTATACAGAACCGAGACCGTTTAGGGCTTTAACGGTCAGCACCAACACTTTGAATTGTGCTCAGAAACGTACTGGGAGCCAATGCAGATCTCTCAGGACCGGTGTTATTTTGTTTCATTTCACTTCCCTATTAATTTGTAATCCGCCACTCTAAATTACCATGCACAAGGTGGTTTACAGCAACAAAATATGCAACAAAGAAAGCACACCTTTATATAGTAAACTGACCCAATACAAAAAGTCATAATAAAACATAACTTTAAAATGGAACATCTTATACCAGATAAAAGTAATATTCAATAATCTATTAGAATATATTAAAATTAACTCTCAAAACATCAGCAAATAATAATTAAACAGAAATTCACTCTTAACAATTACAATAAATAATTACTAAACTATGATAAGTTAAAAATAACTGCAAGTCACAATGCATAAAATACCACAATACATACAAAACTATGCAATGCACAAAGAGGTACTATTTTTTTTATTAAAAAAAATCTCTTCTGAATCTTCCAGCATTCAGCTTCACTGGAGGTCCACATGTTCTATTGTTACATATTTTTGTTAGAATACCAGCAACTTCACATACCAGCTCTTTAAGCAGCAACAAATATCTATAATAATATTGCAAAAAAATCAGTTCCACTTGTAATCCAAACACATAAACCAGTTTAAAAGGTCTTTCACCTTCACTTACAGGTAATTATTTCTACAGGGCTGAACCAAATATCACCTGGGGGAAAGTTCCATAAGCGGGGTGCCAACACAGAGAATGCCCTGTCATGATTAATAATAATAGTAATAATTTATCATTTCTACCCTGCCCATCTGGCTGGGTTTTGGTACTTGGGTCCCAAATTGTTTAGGGCTTTACATGCCCTTGGATTGGACTCAGTGATTTGCCAATAACCAGAGTTGGGTATCTTTCCTAGTTTTCCTTTCAAGGTAGATGGCAGGGGTCTCATACTGGGGGAAACTCTGACAGCTCTCTTTAAAATAAAATAAAAATGAAGCATCACCTGCACTTCCCTTGATAACAGGCCCTTTTAAAAAACATAAACAACACCTGAATCATAGAAACTTAGAGTTGGAAGGGACCCAAAGCCATTGCGTCCAACCCCCTGAAACTGTAAAAGGCTAAAGGAAGGGTGTGGCCTTCCAGATGTTGTTGGACTCTCAATTCCCATCAGCCCCAGGCAGCACAGCAAATGTCAGGGATGATGGGAGTTGTAGTCCAGCAACATCTGGCGAGCCATGGCTTCCTCATTCCTGTGCTAAGCTTTGCCACTGCATACTGTACCTGAAAGTGTCCACTCATTTTCACAGCTGCCCCATGTGTGTTCTGGGATTCAGGCCCAGAGCTGGAAGGCTGTGCTCACTGACCACAAAGCTCTTGGTTGTCTAAGCTCCAAACCGCCTCCCAAAGGCTTTGCTCACCACAAAGTTCTCTGCTGTACCAGCACCAAACCACCAACTCATGTCCGTCTGTAGGCAGTGATGTTTTTAAGAGGCGGATATTGGAGTATGGAGCATCTTCTATTGTGCCAACAGCATTTGGGCAGGAAAACAGGTGCTACCCCATCTCAATCAGACCCAGAACCACAGTTCAGTGGTACAACGCCTGCCTAGCATGCACAAGTTCCCAGATCCAGTCCCCTCTCTCCAGGCAGGCCTGGGAAACCCCTGTCTGAAACACTGGGCAGAGTAGACCATACTGAACTGAACAGGGATGGTTCAACTCAGTGCAACACGTTTTCCTTATGTTCAGAGAGCAAATCTCCAGAATATTTCAGGATGGTGTGTGTTTGCCACCCCCTGAGTGCTTTTGAATGGGACACCTATTTAAGGCAATAGGATCCACAGCTTCCTGCACAAAGGAAGCAGGCAGGATCAGGCAGCTTTCTATAATTTCCGGCAGGATCCACCTTTTTTTTTTTTTTTAACCCACCCCCATCCGCTGCCATTACAACGCTGCAGAGCTCATACCCTCCATTTTTTTTTGTATTATTATTTTTTAATTCTTCATCCTCTCAGCGCTTAGCTCCCCTGTGTGTGCGTGTGCTTTGAATTAATCCTTTGGAGTGTTTGTGTATGTTTTCCCTCCCCCGCTCCTTAGCCACACCGCTCTCCCCCCCACCCCACCCCCCACACACATACAAGCTCCATCCCTGATTTCTGGGTGTGTTAACTCCAATGTAGCTCTTTCAGCTCCGTGTGTGTGGGGTGTGTGTGTGTGTGTGTGTTCTCTCTTTCACCCCCCCCACCTTCTCCGCCCCCAGGCATGAGAAGCTGCAAGATGGTCCGGGTGGTTAGTGTTCTGGGTCTGGTGATGCTCAGCGTAGCTCTGCTGATTTTGTCCTTCATCAGCTACGTGTCTCTGAAAAAAGACAATATCTTCACCACTCCCAAATACGCCAACACGGGAGTGCCACGAATGTACATGTTCCACACTGGATTTAGGTGAGTGCTTGAAATACATATATGTATATATTTAAATGTACATATATCATCTTCCAGGGGAGGAAAGAGCCAGTGAGCTGGGCGGAGGGTATGCATGCAGGAGAGGAAGGTTTAGAGGAGGGAAGGGTGTGTGTTGCGCGGGGGGGGGGGTAGATATTACTATTATTATTATGATCATTATTGGATCAACGCTCCGGGACACCCCCATTCCCCACCTCTTCGCTTTTTGTGCCAGGAGTAAACCAAGCCCCCGCCCCTCCCTTTTAAAAATCGATCAGATCGTGCAGAGGTGGGTGGGGGGGTTGCCTCAGTGGCCAGAGGAAGGTGGGAGGTGAGGAACCCCCGGCTCCTATAGATATAGATAAAATATGATGCGGGTCTCTGACGAGAATCATGGTGGCTCCCTGCCCGGTTCATGTATATTCCATCATGGGGCGAGCTGATGGCGCAGGCGCCCTCTTTCCCCGGCTGGGGATGGGGGAAGACATCGGCGCGGCTTCCCCACCGTTTTGGGGGCGGGTTGACAGATGCACAAACGCTCTTTAAACGCGCAGGGGGCTAGGAAGGGTCTCCGATCGCTCCCTTCCACCATTCCTTTTCTTCCCCCATCCCCACCCCGGTGTTCTGCACTGCCCCGCAGGTCTGGTGATAGAAGTGGGGGGGGGGGGGTGTTCCTTTGTGTGATTGTGGCTTTCTTAATTTTATTTTATAATGCATTTTTTAAAAATCTGCTTGGAAGCGCTGCGCTCCCCACCATCCCAAAGAAGCGCAGATTTACTCCCCATTTTAGCGCCGGCAGATTAGAGGCACCCTCTTCTCTGCGCGCAGAGATCAGGCCCGGAGAATTAGGGGAGGGGAATTGCAGGAGGAAGGTGGATTTTCCAGGCAGGCGTGAGGCGGAAGTCGTGGAGACGATTCGCATGCTCTGCTGGGTCTTCCTCCTCCTCCTCTGCTGGTCCAGAGGCCGGGAAATGCCCCACGGTGTGCAGACGTGGCGTTGCATTGGCTCTTTGCAAAAAAAAAATAAGCCCCTTCCCAGCTCCCACACAAATGCTCCTGGGGGTGGTGGTTTGCTTGAAGTGGCCTCCTCCCTCTCAGAGTAAGAAGAGTTTTAAAAGTGAATGGAAACTTGAGGCTCCGACGTTATCTTTCGGAGGTCGCTGTCCATGGTGCTGAATTTGCATCCGCTCCCGTTCTGCGCCCCTCCGCCTTCACCCCCTTCCAAGCTTGTTCTCCGCTAATGAACCGCCCAGATGCTAACGGCTTTGGCTGTTCAGAATGGGGGGGGGGTGTCAAAATCAGAGTTTGTAAGGGACCTCAAATGCCATCTAGTCCGACCTCGTGCTGATGCAGGAAATCCTGCAGCGTCCCTGTTCGGTGCCCGTCCACCCTCTGCTTCTAATTAAGGAGAACTCTCAGATCACAACATTTGAAAGGGCGTACCATTCTGTTTGTTTTCTACTTTTTGTGCGTAGGTGCTGCCTACCAGAGGAAGCAGAACTGGGCTAAATGGCCCAGAGGTTTCGACTCAGTACAAGGCAGCTGGATACCTTAATCTATATTCTGTGCATAGGTCCCACTTGAAATTGCTTTTGCATGTTGTCTTCTCCATGCTGCCACTTTAATAAATATAGTGTTATGTAACCACAATGCTGAGGCTGCTTCTGGTGGCATCGTCTGCTGTCTAGACTAATGTGTAGACTGGCTCTTAATCATTAGAAAATTTGAAGTATTGGGGAAAATTAGAGGCTAACAGCACAATCAGATACATGTCTTCTCAGAATTAAGTCTTCCAGAGTTCAGTGGGACTTACTGTTGTTTAGAGTTGCAGCCTAAAATATGCTTTACATCAGGGATTGAGAATCTGCTGTTGGATTCCAGCTCCCATTGGCCCCATCTAGCATGAGTGATGGAAGTTGATGTCCAACAAAATCTGGAGGGCACTATAGGCTTCTCGTCCCTGTTTTACATGTTACATTTGTTCTAGTCACATGTAGATAGAAAGTATGATGTACAACCCATCAGGTGAGATGGCACATTTGCAAAGCTAAGCAGGGTCCGGTATGGTTTCAAATTGGGTGGGGGACTGCATGTTGAGATTCCTGCATTGCAGGGGGTTGGCCTAGATGACCCTCAGGTCCCTTTCAACTCTATGGCTCCCTGTATGCATGCAGCAAAATGCTTAGGAAGGACTCTAGCTCAGTGGTAGAGTAGCTGCTTTATTAAATCCCTGGCGTCTCCAAGTAGAGAATGGAAGATACTTCTGTCTGAACAACCCTGAAAAGCAACAATCAATCAGCATAGATAATACTGAGTTAGATAGACCAGTGGTCTGGCCTAGTATGAGGTAGCTCCCTAAAATACGTTCAGGTGAGAACACACAAACAATGATCTACACACAGGTTTCAAGCGTTTTCATCAATGGAAAAAAAAAATCTCTTTTTTTTATTCCATAAAATTTATACACTGCCTGAGTCTAGAAAAAGCTACCACAAAGCGGTTTGCAAAGATAAAACAGAAAAATTGAGGGGCGGTAATTACAGCCGTATTTACAAAAAGTTAAAAACTTAACAAAAGTACAGAGAGGAAGAAGGGCCAGTCTGCAGGGGAGTTTCTCTTACAGGTTCTAAAGATCTCAGGAATCTGCTCTGCAGTTGCCGGGAGTAGGGCTTTTTGAGTGTGGCTTCCTCTGTTCTGTGGAATAGCATTTGCTGCCATGATATGACAGACAATCACGATCTGCACTTTCTGGAAACAGCCGGAGACCTTTTTGTTCTGATAGGCTTTTCCAGCTGGATGAATGGACCTTTACTTTGTTTGGTTTTAGTTTCTTTTTAAATGTATTTGCTGTTTTTCGCTTTCATGTACATCACCTTGAGATTGTTGTTTTGAAGGCAATTGTTAATAATAATAATAATAATAATAATAATAGGTGGGGCAGAAGAAGCAGTAGAGCAGTGTTTCCCAACCTTGGGTCTCCAGCTGTTTTGGACTACAACTCACATCATCCCTAGCTAGCAAGACCAGTCAGGGATGATGGGAATTGTAGTCCGAAAACAGCTGGAGACCCACGGTTGGGAAACAGTGCAGTAGAGGAATAGGAGAGCATGAAGCACATGAATTCCTGGGGACAAGGAGAAGGCCAAAAAGAGTCTAAAGGATTAAAAATGGTAGCAAGCATAGTTTCAGGTCTCTAGCATGCCTGTAGCATTCCATAACATATTTTCCTCCCCACAACATATTAAGTGTAAGATTACATATGTAGCAGGATCTAACAGATCCTTTGGGCAACAGGAGCAATGCTTTCGAACCCTCTTCCTGTGGGGGAAGCCTCTCCCAGCACACGTATGAACAGCATGTCAGGGAGAATGAACAACTTGCCTCTAACATTTTCTCCAGATTCTCATCTGGACTGGGATTTGGTGAGATATGTACAACCGAGCATGTTTAGATTCCAAGCGTAATGTGTCACAGAACATATCATGTCTATTTGATGGCGGGGTGTCCTTGAAGACTGGTTTGCACTTCATTCTAGACTGTAATAGAATAGTTAATTTACTCCTTCAAGCTTCGAGTGAATTCACTGACGGTGTGGATATGTGATCCCTTTCAGGTCCCAGTTTGCACTGAAGTTCCTTGACCCTTCCTTTGTACCCAATACAAACGCCTTGAACCATGAGATGCAGGATAAGGCTCCCAAATGGACATTCAACAGAACGGCATTTTTGCAGCAAAGGTGAGTGAGAACGAGGCAAAACTAAGCCATCAAGCCAAAAGCATGTTGTCATGCTTCTTTAAAAAAACAAAGCAATCACAGTTGTTATTTAACTAATTATTTGGCAACAGGTAGTATGTGGTCTTGGGAGTTTTAAAGATCAACCAGCCATAACAGTGATCTATGAATGAACGAGCAGTGCTTTGAGATGGGGTTCTGTGTTCAAAATCAGAACTTCTGCTTTTCTCAAATGTTCTCAAGTGCTTATACCAATAAACGCTAAGCCCTTCCTATTTTGAGAAGGCATGTTTTTACCACAGACCTGTCGCTGAAGATGTGACTTGTTTCTGATCAGAATGTGAAAGTTGTATTCTATTTCTTTCTCGCCTCCATGGCCTCCTAGCAACCCTGGCTCCAGTGGCAGGTAGCGTGGTGGTGCAGAAGTGCTTACCTGACCTCCAGTCCCAGCAAATGAGTTTATACCGCTTGCTGGGAGGGAGAGTGCCATGGCTGCAGAAAGGGCAGCATGGTACATACACGCCAGCAGGTACATTAGATTGGCACAGCCAGGGCGTTTGCATTGCACCAGGTTTGTCGCAGCCTCATCCGAGCCCTCCCAGTAAGCAGCGACAGCTCACCTGCCGGGAGGTCAGGTAAGCACCAACTCCCCACCATGCCATCTTCTTGTCTGACCCCCGTTACACGCTCAATGTGAGACCACAACAAAACTCTGCTTGCTGAGAATTCTGAAGTCAACAGAGAAAGTTGAAGGAGGATAGAAATCAATTGCGCACTGCAGGATCCGACTGCTTTCTCCATCCAGTGATGTGGGGTATAAAATTTCCCAGGGCTTTCTTTTTCGGTGGGAAATTTTCCCTTCCCGAAGTTCATTAGTATCAATGAATGGATTCCAGATGCGAATAGAATATTAAGCAAGCTCGGCAGTTTCAAAGATGTAATTAATACTTGTCCGGTGATTATCCCCCGCGAGTATGTGAGTCAGCGTATATCGTGCGCAATTCTTTGGGTTTCTAACATTTATTAGTGCGTCAACAGTTTTCAATAACTTCGGGGAGGTCCCTCAGTTTTAAATGATGTAAGAGAAGCACACGATCTTGTCTTTGCAATTTTTACAAGTATTCAAATAATACATAATTTAAGCTGTGCCCTTATTTCTTCCCTTCATTTTTTTGTGGGGAATTGGGACAAAAATTAACATGGGGTACTTTTTTGAGGGTGGGGGCTTTGTTTACTAAATTGGGGGGGGATAACATGCTAAATTAAATCACTTGCTCGCACATCAGAAAACTGTCAGGTACAAATTACCCTGTGCAAGTTAGCTTAATATCCACAGGAAACATTTCCAAAAACATTTTCCCATATTAATTTTTTGCAAAAGCCCACATCGCTATATCCATTCATAGTTTGCCTCTCCTTACTTCTCTCTGTCCACTAATTTCCCCAAGGAGCTTAGAGGGGTTAAAAGGAGAGAGGGCAGAGGAGATAACCATTGATGAGGAAAGGTATCCTTTCCAGTGTATAGGAAATGGGTCTCCACCCCAACTTTCTCTTATCTTTTGGCCCAGGAACCTTCAGAATTCTTAGCAAGCAGAGCCCTCACATTATTGGGAATGACCTTGCTCAGTTGTAGAGCATCTGCTTTGCATGCAGAAGGTCTCAAGGTTCAATCCCTGGCATCTTCAGGCTGAGAAATACCTCTGTCTGAATCCTGGAGAGCTACTGCCAGTCATTGTAGACAATACTGAGCTAGATATGCCAATGGTCTGACTCTGTATAAGGCAGCTTCTTGTGATCCTATCTAAACCATCTTTCCTCTATGCCAAGAGCACACAACTCCTGCACCCGGTTATTGCATGATAAAACAAAATAATGAAAATGCTCTTTATTCCTGCTGTCTTTTATTAGTTTTGTTCCAAGTTTGTTCCGAGTTTTACCAAAGCGGGCACTGTTGTCTAATAGCTACCTGTTCTGTCTGAAATATAGACTGGGATGAGACAGCTGTGCTGCAGTGTTAAAAAAAAAATAAACTACAAATATATTGGACCAACTGAATGGGCCAGCGCAGGCAGAATGTAGGCTTAATCTGCAGTTAAGTACCGTATTTTTTGCTCTATAAGACACATTTTTCCCTCCTAAAAAGTAAGGGGAAATGTGTGTGCGTCTTATGGAGTGAATGCAGGCTGTGCAGCTATCCCAGAAGCCAGAACAGCAAGAGGGATCACTGCTTTCTCTGCACAGCGATCCCTCTTGCTGTTCTGGCTTCTGGGATTCAGAATATTTTTTTTCTTGTTTTCCTCCTCCCAAAACTAGGTGCGTCTTGTGGTCTGGTGCATCTTATAGAGCGAAAAATACAGTAATTGGGAGGAAGCAGCTATGAGATCAATTTATGATGTTATGTTTGCAGTTATATTTTGTTTTATTCATTCTTGTAAATCATCTTGGAAATATGATTGAAGGGCAATATATATATTTGTGTGTGTGTGTGTGTGTGTGTGTGTACAAAGCTGCATGCTTCCTCCTCCCAACTCCTATGTAGAAACATAAGAAAAGCTCTGCAGTATCAGGCCAGATGCCCATCTTGTCTAGCATCCTATTCTCACAGTATCCATCCAGATGGCTATAGATGGGCTGGTGGATACAGAGGAGTGGTAGGAAGCACTAGCTGGGGAACTCCCCCAAGAAACCCCCCAGGGAAGAGGACTCAGAGCCAGGGGATCAGTGTTGGAGCAATGATGAGTGGTCAGAGGAAGAAGAGGGAGCAGGCTGGCAGGGGGAGGTGTCAGAAGCTGAGGAGGCAACAGGGTATAGTGAGCAGGAAGAAGCTGGGGCAGAGAGCAGTCCAGAATCAGAGGCAGAAGTGGAGGCTGGAGAGGAGTGGGAGCAGGCTGCTCCTGTTGTGACCAGTTCCTCTCCCCACTGGTCTCCCAGAACATACAGAGGAATGAAGAGGGCAGAGCAAAGAGAGACAAGGCGAAGGCACCTCAGGTTGCTGGAGAAGGAACCAAGAGAGGATCCTTAGAGAACGGTGGGACATTCAGTCCTCACAACTGCCTCGTTGGGGCAAGACCTACTGGGAAGAGTTGCTGTGACCACTAGGCATGCACTGTTTTTGGTTTCTTTGAATAAAGAGTTAACTTCACTCACCCCAGGTGTTTTATTGCTGACCTGCTCCTGACAAAAGCCTGCAAGCAGACCCTGAGTGCAACCATCCTCTCCTCTCTCGTGATTCCCGGCAGCTGGTATTGAGAGGCACACTGCCTTTGAGAGTGGAGGTAGATATGTAGTCATGGTAGCTACTGTGTACCATTGATAGCCTTGCCTTCCATGAATTTGTCCATTCCTCTTTTAAAGCCACCCAAAACAATGTTTTATCAGTACATCTTGCGGGAAAACCCCATAGCTTAACTAGCTTACGTTATGTCAAGAAGTCTCTTTCCTGGAGCAGCCTGTGGATGGGTGGATTCCCTGGACCACCCTCTGTCAGGGTAGAAAGTATGGAGATCTGTGGGCAAAGAATACCTGCCCTCAAAGTCGTTGTTATTGCAACTGTGGAAAGTTTTGTTGTGAGGGGCTGAAAAGGGGTGTGTCGCGTGGGTATATCAGGGGGTGGATCAGAAGAGGCCTCGGATCCACAGGATCCCAAGCCCTCCTGTTCCCTTGGCATGCCCCCAACAAGGGAGACAAACTCTGCCAGTCCTGGAGCAGGCACAGTTACTTTCCTTCCCCTGGAAACCAGTGGATTGAAGGGCAGATTGGGAAACTTTCCAGTATGGCCAACACAAGCCCAGTAGGGTTTAGTAAGTGGTGATTCCTCTACCAAGGACTCTTCCTCCTACCCACTTCTGTGTAAAAAAAGGTAAAGGGACCCCTGACCATTAGGTCTAGTCATGGTCGACTCTGGGGTTGCGGCGCTCATCTTGCTTTATTGGCTGAGGGAGCCGGCGTACAGCTTCCGGGTCATGTGGCCAGCATGACTAAGCTGCTTCTGGCAAACCAGAGCAGCGCACGGAAACACCGTTTACCTTCCCGCTGGAGCGGTACCTATTTATCTACTTGCACTTTGACGTACTTTCGAACTGCTAGGTTGGCAGGAGCTGGGACCGAGCAACGGGAGCTCACCCCATTGTGGGGATTTGAACCACCGACCTTCTGATCGGCAAGTCCTAGACTCTGTGGTTTAACCCACAGCCTCACCCACGTCCCCTCCACTTCTCTGTAGCATTGCTCTATTAAGAATTACATTGGCACAGACCTTAACCCCAGTTAATGCCAGACCAGAATTCCAGTTTAACCAGTATGGCGATCACACAGGGTCCCCGGACGTTTAATGGTCTATTGATCCCTGTGCCACCACTGTGCTCGCTTCCCTGCTGCCACCAACCCATTATTCTCGGGTAAAACACTGAGTTCAGACAGCTGTTAAAATTGAACCAAATAAACAAATTTATTTTACAAACATTAACAAGTTTATGGTTTCTCTGATAATATTCTTGTCAGTTTCTTAACTTTAGTTTCTTTACCGGCCTATACCTTCCTAATACCTTCTGACTGATTATCTCAACTGTTTGACTGACTCCTCTTAACAAATTCTCTCACTCTCTCACATCAGACTAGCCCAACCTACAGACTTATCCTCTCTGTCTCTTCTAACTCCAGACTGACTTCTCAAACACCCTAACTCTAACTCTTAACTCCTCCCCTTGGGTTCCCATTGGTTAGTCATTTTACAATTAGTTAACCCTTTCCTTATGAACCCAGTATGATGTCACACACCTAGGAGGGCAAACGCTACAACCAGTAACCAAATTATGGTTAACAGGACTTTGTTAACAGTTGCTGCAGATGGATTTCTTAACTGGTTAAGGCAAGAGGGGAGGATTTGTGCAGACTGAAAAGGGGGCTGCAGGAGATATCTGCAGCGTTACAGCTTGCTATTGATCCCTTAACCTTGTTTCAGAGGGATCCGGCGCTTACAACCGCATGAGCCCAGCAAGCAACATAGAATAACCTGGAATCACATAATTTACTCAACCAACAGGCTGTTCAAACGTGTTAGAATCATAGAATCATAGAGTTGGAAGAGACCACAAGGGCCATCAAGTCCAACCCCCTGCCAAGCAGGATACATGCTTTCAAATCCAAGCGCTTTCTTCTATGGGAGTGGACATCTAGCGTCAAATAAAATAAAATAAGATGGAATAAGGCACGGTGCTCTGAGGTAAATGTAGGTATGTTGACTGTTGATTGGATTATAGTTTATTTGATCCTGCAGGGAGAAGAGGCTAGAAGTTGGATTACATGGCTTTTAAAATAGGGATGGCAAAAGGAAGCACAACAGCTTTGGGTTAGGAGTGTCATCAGCTCAGCTTCCGTTTTGATGTACCTTTGTAAGGCAGGCAATGTACAAGGCACAATACGAAATTTCATTAAGTGGGCAAGAGTCTATTCAGTTTCAATTTGATTGCAGACTCTTCTTGTCAGTGGGGTCAAGAATATGCTGTGTTATTTCCATGGAACCTTTCTTCAAGTTTCTATATATACTGTCGCACTAGCAAATCCAAGGCAATTTTCTGTCAGATAAGCAAGTTCTAGATCTTATTAAGCTTTAAACATTTCAGGCCGGCAAGTCTGTAGGTTGCTCTGAGGACCATCAGAACAGAGCAAAGTGAGGTCTGCCTAAGTGAGGAAGGCAAAGCCGGTATATGCAAGGGAAACTTACCAACAAGCTGGTTTCCAGATTCCCCAATGTGTTGCAAACATAAATGTTTTTCAGGGGAAATGCGCCACGCCTAGATTGTGGAATGGCAAGATGCGCAGAGCCTTTGACTCAATCGTTCCTGAGTACCCTCACCATCACTGTGGAGTGCATAGGTTGTTTTATTGTATTTTAAATACTTTGTTGGAAGCCGTCCAGAGTGGCTAGGGAAACCCAGCCAGATGGGCGGGGTATAAATAAAAATAAATAAAAATTATTATTATTATTATTATTATTATTATTATTATTATTATGCAATGAAGCAGGAGACTTGCCAGCTAGAGGGCAGGTATAAATCTTGGTCTTTGGGGTCAGCCTAATTGCTATGCAATGAGTTTGTGTAACTGGCTTCTATACTGCTTACTACGATTTGAAAAATAGTTTTGGTTTAAAAATTTGAACATACTGTTGCACACCACGCCAGTCTCTGAACAGTGCAGAATTCCAGGCGCTTACCCAGGGTTTATGTTTCCTTTGGAATGAGGAACAATGGAGATGGTGATGTCTTTATGATACATGGTTTATTTACACATATATACAGCCTGAGCCTACAATGGAGGAGTTCACTGCATTTAACATCCCAATAGGATCTTGTTTCACCCATAGCCATAGCCTTGGATGCAAGCAGAAATCAGGCATGCCTCTCCCTCACAGGATTCAGCCTGCTTCTTCCTCCAGTTTCTAGCTTACACACACAACTAAGCTCTGGCCTTTGCTTTTTCCAACTACCAGCAAGTTGAGGAAGGGGGCCCACCCATTTGCCGTCTGGCATAAAGCCACTTCCTTTGTACACTTAATGGTCCGTTACCTAGGCTGTCGCCTCACCAGGAAGGGAACCTAGCCATTCCAGAAATTTGAATTCTTGCTTAAGTTTTACAACTTGATGGATCAAGGAATTAGAAGGCTCTCGGCATACAGCCTGCAAACCCCTTCTCAACTCATAAGAGTGCGTACGCGCCGCTTGTCAACCATTTTGCCAACCCTACTTTCCCCACACCTGACCCACCCCCTCGACTATCCCCGCACAGCCTGCTCCAAGCCCCACCTTTAGAGAGCAGTTTCTGAAGTGCCTCCATTATATCATGCTCCAGCTGTTTTTAAAGCCCTATACGGCCTAGGACCCTTGTACCTACAGGGCCGCCTCTCCTGATATGTCCCACGGAGGACCTTACGGTCTTCAAACAAAAACATCTTGGAGGTCCCGGGACACAGGAAGGTTAGGCTGGCCTCAACCAGAGCCAGGGCTTTTTCGGCTGTGGCCCCGATCTGGTGGAACACTCTGTCACAAGAGACTAGGGCCCTGCAGGACCTGACATCTTTCCGCAGGGCCTGTAAGACAGAGCTGTTCCACCAGGCCTTTGGCCAAGGCACAGTCCTTTGGTAATCCTCACAGAACTCTAGCCCAATGGTTGCCATGAATTTGATTTTGAATTGATTTTAAAATGAACTGATTTTTGAATGCTGTGTTACTTTTATTGTTGTTAGCCGCTCTGAGCCCGGCTTCGGCTGGGGAGGGTGGGATATAAATTAAAAATTATTATTATTATTATTATTATTATTATTATTATTGGGCAAGGTGCTTCACAGAACATTTCCCCCCATGCACTGCTTGCTCCCTTATTTGCCTGCCATTCTGTCATCTCGCTGAAATTAGCATGGCCACCTATCAGCAGCCATGCAAACTGCAGCGTGACGACAGACTTACATTTTTATGTATATAGGAAGATACTGTTTGGTTTTTAGAATGTTGTAAGGCACCTTGTGGTCTCTGATGAAAGGTGGTCAATAAATTAAATAAGTAAATAAATGATTTCATTGGTGGCTGGAAGAGGCGGGGCAAATTGCAACGTGATACCATTACCAGATGGGTAAGAGATGTTAAACTTTCCAGGAAAGTTGGGATGAACTCAACAGAAGAATGCTGTTTTCAGTAGTATTCCTCTTTGGAGGAAGAGCAGCATATGCCGGTAGCAAATAAGTAATGAAATAGACCAGGTTGTTTAGTTTTCTCCTGATGATGAGTAAATGGAAACCATAATGGTATTTTTATTAGCCTTATTCGCTTTAGGAGAAATTTTAATATTTGCAAATTGACCTTATGATTCCCCAAATAGAATATTAAGAAGCTGTGTGTCTGCAAAGGGGAGACAGCTGAATGTTGCTTCGAGATGCCAAATGAGGATACTGGAAGCACTCACTTCAAAACTTTGAGCGCATTATCGTTAATGCCATTAAAGATGACTTGAGAGTTCTGTGCTGATGATACAGGGAATGCGCAGTAATGTTTCTTTGCAAAGCTCTTTCCTTCCCCCTGCAAGGTAATAATATAAGATACCTTTGCAGTTTAATTCCCTCTGAAAGACTTATATAAACTGTATTGCAATCAGGTAGCAGTCCCAAACCAAAATGCATTATCTTTGTGGTCTAGTAGAGGTTGACAAGCGTCGGTGGTCAGAGTCTCAATTACGTTCAATTACACTGGGCAGAATTTTTAAGAAACCTTTTCTTTTTTTCTTTTTTTGCTGAAATGCATTTCTTAAAATAAAAAAGTCTCTAATCCTGGAAGCTTTTTCATTATATGAGACAGTGAAAGAGAGTCTTTGCAGCACCTTCTTCATAAGGTCTAGAGCAGAGGTGGGGTAACCTCAGGCCCAGAGGCAAGATGTGGCTCTCCAGGCCTCTCTGCCTGGCCTCCAGAACTCTTCCCAGGTCACACCCCCTAACTGAAGCTGCTTCACACACTCCTTTAGTGTTTTTGCCTGACTGGACCATGTCCTTAAGCCCTGACAATGCTTCTTGGATGCCTGTAAAGGCAAAGGGACCCCTGAACATTAGGTCCAGTCTGGGGTTGTGGCGCTCATCTTGCTTTATTGGCTGAGGGAGCCGGCGTACAGCTTCTGGGTCATGTGGCCAACACGACTAAGCCACTTCTGGCGAATCAGAGCAGCACATGGAAACGCCGTTTACCTTCCCACTGGAGCAGTACCTATTTATCTACTTGCACTTTGACGTGCTTTCAAACTGCTAGGTTGGCAGGAGTGGCTGCCCGTATGGAGGAGGGGGGAAAAAGGGGCGTGTGAGTTTATGTAGTGGGAGATTAGCAGACAAACCTAACAAATACATATTCTTGCTAGTTAGCATGAGAATAATAATAATAATTTATTATTTATACCCCGCCCATCTGGTTGAGTTTCCCCAGCCACTCTGGGCGGCTCCCAATCGAGTGTTAAAAACAATACAGCATTAAATATTAAAAACTTCCCTAAACAGGGCTGCCTTCAGATGTCTTTTAAACAGACATCTTTTAGAAGAGACTAAGTCCACAGAGCTACAGTGGTACCTTGGTTCACGAATGGCTTGCCTCCCGAATGCCACAAACCCAGAAGTAAGTGTTCTGGTTTGCAAATGTTTTTCGGAAGCTGAACGTCTGGCGCTTGAGTTCAGGAAGCTCCTGCAGCCAATCGGAAGCTGTGCCTTGGTTTTTGAACCATTTCAGGAGTTGAACAGACTCCCAGAACAGATTAAGTTCGAGAATCAAGGTACCACTGTATATTGCTGAGAGACAGATACTCAGACCATAGAAATGCAGTTGGTAGAGAGGGCTCTGTGTGATGTCATTTCCCATCATCTCCTGGAAAGGAAGGAGCATATAGTACTTCCTGTTCCTCTCTCTTTCTCTCTCTCTCTCTCTCTCTGCCCTGTGCCTGTTTGCCTGAGATTGGTTATACTGTAAATATAAGTACCGTATTTTTTGCACCATAACACTCACTTTTTTCCTCCTAGAAAGTAAGGGCAAATGTCTGTGCGTGTTATGGAGCGAATGCCTATGGGTGGCGGGGGGGGGGATCTGCTGCAGTCGTGAGCAGAGGATCCATGGTTCCCCTTCCTTCCCTCCTCCGTGGCTCGCTTTGAAACAGCAAAGCAGGAGAGGAGCCGCTTACACAGGTGTAAGCGGCTCCTGTCTGGTTGGCTGCTTTAAACCGTGCTCTCTGTCCCTCTCTCCTCCCCACTCAGCTTGCTAAATAGCAGCAAAGCTTTTCAGCTCTCTAAGCCGGGGAGGAGAGAAGCAGAGCCTGCTTGTTTTAAAGGAGCAAAGCAGGAGAGGAGAGGAGCCTTCTCCCCTTGTATTCCTCTTCTGCATTATTAGCAGCATCCTTCTCCACACACCCCACGCATGCTCCTTGTCCCTTGAGTGCTTTTCCTTCCCTCTCCACTTAAAACGTGGTTACAAAGCACGGATCCACATGGATCCTCAGGATTTTTGCATTGGGCTACCCCAAACTCACCGTCAGATCACATGTCTGTGGCCACAGCATGAACCACAAAAATCATACATCCTCCACTGTTTAGAATATTTTTTTTTCTTGTTTTCCTCCTCTAAAAACTATGTGCGTGTTATGGTCATGTGCGTGTTATAGAGCGAAAAATACGGTATATTGCTTGCATAGATTTTACTGCTACTGTTTCTGTGAACCAATGCAAGATTATAAAGTAAGTAAATCTTATTTTTATACATAACTTTATACATTGCTGCCTGGTTCGTTGTTACGCAAGCTAAGAAGGGGGAAGCCAGCTTATAAAGTGAGTCTTTGCAGCCCAGTTCCTATGCTTCCAATTTCACTGCCAATAATGGGATTTAAAAACTCTGTTTAATGCACACATGTGGGCAGCTGGAGGGATAAATTGCAATTAACATATCCTCTCCTACCCATTAAAACCCTTCCCACACAAACTAGCCTAGTGCACATTGCTCCACTCACTTTTGTCTCTGTCACTCTCATGTGGCCCCTGGAAGGTTCTGAAAAAGGTTCCCCACCCACCTGGTCCACAGATATTAGGTTGGATCTAGAGATCACTCCTGCCAACAAGGGGAGAAGTCAGCCAAAGTTGCTTCTCCCACTTTGCCAATGGGATCACTAGCCTTCCTTTGTGGGAAGCAGCCTTCCTTTGCGAATGGCAAAGTCTGGATCCAGGCCATTGTTTCTGAAGAAGGGATCAGACCGACAGTATTTTTGTTGCTTCTTAGCACAGGATGGAAAGTATCTGATACTGGTGAATTATTTATCTTAATTTATAAATAGAAATCCTAGCCCACATTCCTCCAAAGCAGCTTACAGATAAGTCTTATGCAGAGTAGATCCATTGAAATGAATGGGCCGAACTCATTAATTTCAGTGGGTCTACTCTGTGTAAACCCTATTTGAATACCACTCTATTAAATCACGCACGCATATATCCCATAATAAAAACTAAAATACACACATGTGTATATATCACATTACACAAAGCATCCAATTTTCTTTAAAGCAGCAATGTTAGAAGTGGTAATGGAATATAAGCACATCCCCACAAATAACAGATCCATTTATGATATTCACTTTATTTCTCTTCCATTGTTTTCCTCCTCGTCGTCATCTTCAATTTATTAATTGTCTCCTTAATAACTTTGTCAGTGCGATATACACTAATAATACAGTGGTACCTTGGTTCTCAAACAGCTTGGTTCTCAAACGCTTTGGTTCTCAAACTCTGAAAACATGGAAGTAAGTGTTCTGTTTTTCGAACGATTTTTGGAAGCAAATGTCCGATGCAGTTGTCGGCTATTGTTTCCGGGGCACCTGCACCAATCAGAAGCTGCAACTTGGTTTTTGAACATTTCAGAAGTCAAACGGACTTCCGGAACGGATTAAGTTTGGCGCTTTTGTTTTTACTATTTATTTTGTGTTTTTGTTTTTGAGGCTTTTTTGGTTAATTTGTTTTTGTGACTGTGTGGAACCCAGTTCAGCTACCGATTGATAGATAGATAGATAGATAGATTGATTGATTGATTGATTGTGTAACTGCAGAAATGGATAAAAGCCCCCCATCCAAACAATGACTATCACCAGTGCAGGGAAGAAAAAAAATAAATTTTCATTTTTATCATCTACAGTACTGTCTTACTTATTTTATAGTACAGTACATTAAATATTGCTTTCATTTTATTGATCATTGGTCTCGTTAGATAGTAAAATTCATGTTAAATAGCTGTTTTAGGGGTTGTTTTTAAAAGTCTGGAATGGATTAATTTGTTTTGCATTGCTTTCTATGGAAAAGCATACCTTGGTTTTGGAACAGACTTCCGGAACGGATTAAGTTTGAGAACGGAGGTACCACTGTAATTAAAAACTGTTAAAAACACAAAGCAGCAAATACATTTAAAACAAAACTAAAACCACACAAAGGCGATACTTGTGATTCCAAAACCACATGGCTTCATAGGACTATGGATAAACAAAGCTCTAATTCTCCCCTTGGATTCCCATCCCAAAGAATCCCTTAATACTGTCAACTAAACTAGTGGCTTCCAAATACTATACTCTGGAGGAACCCAGGAATGACATTTTCTGTCCCTTTGCTATAATTAATAAAGTTATGCCAGCAAAGTACGTAAGCACTTTGCAAGCCGTAGCGGTGTGGTGGGAGGGACTTCATGGTTGATCTGGCTTCCCATTGCTGTGCATCACTGCCAGTTACCGAGAAGAGGAGCAGCAAAGTAGCAAGGATCTTGATGGAAGTGCAGTGGAGCCCATCCAATGCTCTCACTGCTGTGCCATCACCAGAAGTATGGAGAAGCTTTGGCTCCCCAGACGTTGGTGAACTGCAACTCCCATCAGCCCCAGCAATGGCAAGTGGTGATGGGAGTTGTGGTTTCCATCTGCAGAGCCAGCGGTTCCCCAGACTGCATTACAGCATCTGAAGCTCCTACAGGCTGTGAGAAACAGTGTGCAGTCATACACCTCTATCATATGGAAATTAACACTCAAGAGAGAAGGATTTGTTAGTGTCATAGTTGTACCCGCCCTGAGACCTGCGAATATAGGGCGATATATAAATTATGATGGTGATGGTGATGGTGATGTAAGAGCCCTGCAATATCAGATGAAAGGTCCATCTCTAGCCCGCCATCCTGCTTCCCACAGTTGGACAAGTAAGCAGATGTCTTCAAAAAGCCAATGAGTAGGGTCTGAAGACCTTAGCCGTCTCCCACTGGTGCCCCACATGGAGTGGTGTTTAGTGTTGTGCTGCCCCTAAAAACAGAGGTTCCAGATAGCCTTCGTGCCTAATGATAGATCCCTCTAATCCTCTTCTAAATCTGTGTAAAGCTACTGGCCATCAGCACATCCTCTGGTAGCAAATTCCATAAATTTAAGTGTTACTTAGTTAATTAAACATGTGCTAGCCGTATGTTTAATTTTGATGATAAGTGGACACACACACACACACCCATTTCAGAAATAATCCACAGGAAGAGGGTTGATTGGTTTAATCCACTAGACATCCTAAAACTAATTCACTTTTGCAGATGAATCCTAGATTGGAAAGGCTTTAGAGCCCAGTTTGCAAATGCCCAGTGTCTTTGTTGGAAGCTTGTGCCCATTCTAGGCACATCGCCGGGAAAGTGGAAGTGCAGGGAAAAAAACACCCAGGAAAAAAAGTGGAGGAAAAGGAGGGTGCAGATTTGCATATACTTTGTATATGGTAATTTAGATGCAATTTTAGAAATAATTGGTGGTCGTCAGCTGAACGTTACTCAGAGTAGACCTGTTGAAATTAATGGACCTAGCTTAGTCATGCTCATTAATTTCAGTGGGTTTACTCTGAGAAGAACTTAGTTAAACACCACCCAGTGACTATAATTTTATTAGAAATATAGTATTATTGTGGGAAAGACTGTGACCAGTTGATCTGTCTGCCTGATCTGTCTGCTGTCCAGGTACTAACTGTTGATGGTCAGCTTCAAGGCTCCTTCTCTTCTTTCTTATCATTATCTATCTTTAAACCGGACCTGAATAGCTCTTCAGGTTGAGGACTCCCATCGGGAAAGCGGTTTTACTCAACCTCCGGTCCCCAGATGCTGTTGAACTGCAGCTCCCATCATCCTGAATACTGGCTAAGCTAGCTGAGAATGTTGGTAGTTGTAGGCTCCCCCCCCAAAAAAAAACCAACAACTGGGGACCCAAAGGTTGAATAATAATAATAATAATAATACCCCGCCCATTTGGCTGGGTTTCCCCAGCTACTCTGGGCGGCTTCCAACGGAATATTAAAAATACAATACAGCATTAAACATTAAAAACTTCCCTAAACAGGGCTGCCTTCAGATGTCTTTTAAATGTAAGATGATTGTTTATTGGCTTGACATCTGCTGGGAGGGTGTTCCACAGGGCAGGCGCCACTACCAAGAAAGCCCTCTGCCTGGTTCCCTGTAACCTCACTTCTCGCAGTGAGAGAACCACCAGAAGGCCCTCGGCGCTGGACCTCAGTGTCCTGGCTGAACGATGGGGGTGGGGACGCTCCTTCAGGTATACAGGACCGAGGCCTTTTAGGGCTTTAACGGTCAGCACCAACACTTTGAATTGCCTGTGGGAAGCCTGCAAACTGGACATGAACAACAACTGCACTCTGCCCACCTGCAATTCCCAGCAGCTGGTTTTCAGACATCTATTGCCTCTGACAATGGAGGTAGAACATAGGCATTGTGGCTAGTAGCCACTGATAGCCTTGTCCTCTGTTACTGTCTTTTTCGCCCTATAGGACGCACTTTTTCCCCTCCAAAAATGAAGGGGAAATGTGTGTGCATCCTATGGGGCGAATGCAGGCTTTCACTGAAGCCTGGAGAGCGAGAGGGGTCGGTGCGCACCGACCCCTCTTGCTCTCCAGGCTTCAAGAAGCTATCCGCAAGCCTTGGGAGCCCGCAGGAGTTCCCGCCGGCCTCCCACAGCTTGCGGAGAGCTGCCTGCACCCCGAAGCCTGGGCACGCTGAGCAGTCATGCCCGGGCTTCGGGTAGCTCTGCGCAAGCCGCGGGAGCCCTCTCACGGCTTGCGGAGAGCAGCCTGTTCTGGGGGCTGGGGGAGCTTGGGCTTCCCCCGCCCCAGCCCCGCGCCTGGGGGGAAATAAAATTTTTTTTCTTTATTTCCCCCCCAAAAAAACTAGGTGCGCCCTATGGGCCGGTGAACCCTATGGGGCGAAAAATACAGTAATTTATCTAATTCTCTCTCAAAGGCATTCAAGTTGGTGGCAGTCACCACCTCCTGTAAAAGTGAGTTCCATAGTTTAACTCTGTGTTGCTTACTGGAGGCAGGAGTCTGCAGAGAAGGTTACATCCAAGTCAAGAAGGGCCAAGGCTGCAGACAGGTGGGCTGCCATACGTCTGGAATTTCCTGGACATATCCGGGATTTGTCCATTGAATATTATTATTATTATTATTATTATTATTATTATTATTATTATTAATTTGTACACCGCCCATCTGGCTGGGTTTCCCCAGCTACTCTGGATGGCTTCCAACAAAGATTAAAAATACATTAAAATGTCACACATTAAAAACTTCCCTGAACAGGGCTACCTTCAGATGTCTTCTAAATGTCAGGTAGTTGTTTATCTCTTTGACATCTGGTAGGAGGGCGTTCCACAGGGCGGGTGCCACTACCGAGAAGGCCCCCTGCCTGGTTCCCTGTAGCTTTGCTTCTCGCAATGAGGGAACCGCCAGAAGGCCCTCGGCGCTGGACCTCAGTATCCGGGCAGAACGATGGGGGTGGAGACGCTCCTTCAGATAACAGAGGTAGAGCTGGTATCATGTATATTGATGGACACCCAGTCCAAACCCCCTGATGATCTCTGGGCAGAAGTTTCATAACCTGATTAAAATGTCAGGGACAACCTGGGTGCATGGAAGCCCATATCAGAAGTGTTGATTTATTGGCAATTTTCCTTTTAAAAAAAAAAGCTTTTAAATGTCATTTTATTTGGAGATTTTATAAAAAAAATTTAAAAAGCTTTTGTGTCCAGATTTTCACAACCCTAAGCCCAAGTGTGCTTCCACTTACATCCTAGGCAGTTGTGCATTATAGATCTTATGGAGCTTGGTTCTCCAAAGATAGCATAAAATGTTCTAAAATCTAAAGGAAGGATGACAGAACTCATTCTCATGAAGTGTCTCCTTGTTGACTGTCGTTGTGGTTGCCAGCTATGCTGATACTTTGGTGAAATTTTAGGGAATGGATGCAGAGTCAGTGTGGGGAGTGTGAGGAGATTTGACAAAGGGGATCAGGGATGGCGATAAGGGTCCATTTCGGCCAATACTGTCCCCAAACTTTTCCAAGGTGCAATAGAGGAATGATCTTCTACCTTCCCACAGCTAACCCAAACCCTTGGGCACCAAGGGGGTATCTGAGAACACTATGATGTTGCACAGGGTGGCATTTGCCAGGAAAACTAGTTATGATATAAGTGTGCTACAGACCTTAATTAATCTATTAATCATAACATCTGAGAGGGAAGCGTGTGACTAAATAAGTTCACAGAACAAGATGAGGTTCCATATCAAGTTATGGGCTGTACATAATAAATGGTTGGTACATTGGCATACTGATGGTTCCTAGTGATAAGCCAGATTAATAACCCTCTACTGGATCAACCTGCAACAGGAGGGGTTTTTTTTAGATACACCTGGATATTAGATATGGTGTGATATGTTAATTGGATAGGTGTGTGGCAGTTAAGTAATGTACAATCAATAGTCAATGTTCCTTAAGTATGGTTAATAGGTTTATAAGTTCAGGCATACTCATATTGTTAAGGGTATTATGTACTTCTTAGCTTAATGTACTTGGCTGATTAAGCATTAAGAATGAGGACTCAACCAGGCCACATTCACACCATACGTTTAAAGTACTTCAAACAGTTGTTGCTTGGCCCCATAGGATCCTGGGAGCTGTAGTTCACTAAGGGTGCTGAGAGTTGATAGTAGACCTCTGTTCACCTTCCAGAGCTACAATTCCCAGAGTTCCCTGGGGAGAGGGGTTGGTTTTCAAACCACTCTTGAGAATTGTAGCTTTGGGATGGAAATGGAGGATAAACGTCCCCTTTGGGGGGGGGGTCTTCTTAGCCTGGAGTTTTCCCCAATGTGGTGTCTATCAACATCATAGTGTTTTCAAATACCCCCTTGGTGCCCGTCAGGGCCCCCTGCCGCTCCCAATTATTTTTAAAGGTTTCTTGGGCAGTCTCTATGTTTTTGGGTGGGGGGCTGTTCGTTTGTTTTATCTGTGTTTCATTTGTTTGGTGGGCATGCAGATGTTTTGCCTAGTGTTTGGAAAGGGGGCTCTGAGCATCACCAGTTTTTCTTCTATGAAGTCGGTATTTTGTAGTGCCCTCAGCAGTTCCTTAGATTTCCAAATGCGCCCTCAGGCTCAGAAAGGTGGGGTTGTGGCTCCTGCTGTAGTTTTTCTCTCTTTTCAGTCCGTGGAGAAGAACTTCCTTGTTTGTTCTGAAGGAACTTCCTGCTTCATTATGAAATTGTTGTTGGTTTTTTTGAAATCTTGCCTGGTAGACAAGTGTTAATAATAATAATAATAATAATAATAATAATAATAATAATTTATTTATACCCCACCCTTCCCAGTTCAGAAAACCGGGCTCAGGGCGGCTAACCACAAATTTAAAACACTTAATTGATGCAACAAAAACAGCATAAAATACAGTATAAAACGTGAATAACAATAAATTCGGAATTCAAAAATCAGTTTAGGGGGAAATCCATCCAATAAACATTAGATGGTCACCAGGGCTAGCTGGCTAAATTAGTTCTATTTGGGCCAGCGAGGAGACCAGGGGAGAATTTGCTGTGGGATCCCAGAGTGGGCAATCTTCATAAAAAAGGGAAGGGGGGAAGGAAAGGGGATAAAAGATCAGGCTAAGTTCAAATTGAAAGCCAGGCGGAACAGCTCTGTCTTACAGGCCCTGCAGAAGGAGGTTAAATCCTGCAGGGCCCTGGTCTCATGGGACAGAGCATTCCCCCAGGTCAGAGCTATCACTGAGATGGCCCTGGCCCTAGTGGAGGATAATCTGACTTCCTTAGGGCCCGGTACCTTTAAACTACGATTATTCATGAACCTTAAGGTGCTCTGTGGGGCGTACTAGGAGAGACGGTCCAATAAATATGAGTTCATTTACGAGTTTGTAAATCACGAGTTAAGAGTTCATGGGAGTCCAAGATTTTAGGGTAGCTGTGACTGCCCATCCAAAATGTGATCGTACTCTGAAGTACGCCTCCTCCATGAGAGGTTTCCTTTGTGGAATCCTTCCCCCGGGGAGACTTGTCTGGCTCCTTTAGGTGCCAGGCAAAAACATTCCTCTGCCTTTTAAACTGTGGTAAAGGTAAAGGGGACCCCTGACCATTAGCTCCAGTCGTGACCGACTCTGGAGTTGTGGCACTCATCTCACTTTATTGGCCGAGGGAGCCGGCGTACAGCTTCCGGGTCATGTGGCCAGCATGACTAAGCCGCTTCTGGCGAACCAGAAACACCGTTTACCTTCCCGCCGGAGCGGTACCTATTTATCTACTTGCACTTTGCCGTGCTTTCAAACTGCTAGGTTGGCAGGAGCAGAGACCGAGCAACGGGAGCTCACCCCGTCGCGGGGATTCGAACCGCCGACCTTCTGATCAGCAAGCCCTAGGCTCAGTGGTTTAACCCACAGCGCCACCCGCCTCCCTGTATTAAACTGTGGTAGGGTATTGTTTTTGTTTGTTACTGGGTTATGTGTTTTTGTGTTCTCATATTGTAAACAGCCCTGTGATCCTCAGATGAAAGGCAGTATAGAAATTTAATAAATAAAAGCAAAAGCAGCAAAGACCCACCTTTTTATTCCCTTTCTGACTCGGGATTAATTTCATGCCACAAAACAAATTCTCAGTAGGTGAATATTATTATTTTTTTAATTACCCCGCTAATACAAATAAATTAGTGAAATGAATGCCTTTTATTTCACAAAATGTTTAGACCACTTGATTTTAAGGAGAGAAACCCTCGAAGCGGTTCTGTTACGTGCAATGGGAATTCAAGGAGAACGCAACTTAAATCACTTTGAAAGACGCTATTGGAGTAGTCCAAATCATTTGCCCATGCATGTGCACAGAAAATAGTAGATCTAGCTGAAAGGAAACACATGGAGATCTGCATTGATTACTGCAGTGCATCCCTAATTATAATTATTATATAAGTGTTGTGTAATCAAGAAGGTTCTGTAATCGTAGAGGGGAGGGTGGCTGTGAGGAGACATGCCTCTGTGTATCCTGAAGGGAGCCTGTATTCATGAATCTGCCATTACACTACTTACTGCCTGACAGTCATAGGGAAGGTAAGTTAATGTAGGCCAGATCATGCGATCTATTTTCAGCTGATATTGACTGTGCAATTTGGGCCTGTGTGCATTGGATTTTATAAGCATGTACAGAAGCTTGTGGAGTGAGCAGCTAGAATAATGGAGAGTATTGTCTGAACCAAGCCCAAATGTACTCTGTTCTTGGTGTCTATCAGGAACGGGGGACCTTTGGTCCTCCTAGCACTGTTGGACTTCAACTCCCATCAACCCCAGCATAGAAAATGGCCAAGGATCATGGGAGTTGCAATCTTAGCAACTTCTGGATGGCCAAAAGCTCTGCATCCCTGTTGTAAATATTAGTATTAGTATTATTCCCTGCCCTTCTTCAAATGACAGGTTAAAATTAAAATATAGTATTAAAAACAAAAACAGACCACGAAACAAAATGGAGTAATCCTCAGTAGTATCACCCCTGTTATGCTCCCAAAGTCTGCTGAAACAAATAGGTTGGAAGCTGCCTCCTGAATAAATATTGTGTGGAGACAATCTGATCTTTACAGGGAGGGAATTCCATAGCCAGGGTGTCACCACTGAGAAGGCCCTGCTTCTTTTGGTGAAAGGTGCCATATTCCCTGTGGGCACCACAAGCAGTTCAAAAAAGCAGGTTGGCTGGAATGGAGGAAGGCGCTCCTTCAATTACATAATTGTGAAATTAGCCCCTTCCTTCCCATTTCCTCAAGGCAAAGATAACAATTCAACATAAGAAGGAAGACCCATCATGTTCATGAAATGCATGTTCTTTTATTGTTCTAGGCGAGAAATTCTTCAGCATGTTGACGTGATCAAAAACTTCTCCTTGACGAAGAATATGGTTCGGATTGGGCAGCTGATGCATTACGATTACTCCAGCCACAAATATGTCTTCTCCATTAGCAACAGCTTCCGCTTGCTGCTTCCAGATGTCTCTCCTATTCAGAACAAGCACTACAATATCTGTGCTGTCGTCGGAAATAGCGGCATCCTTGTGGGAAGTCAGTGCGGGCAAGAAATAGATAAATACGATTTTGTTTTCCGTTGCAATTTTGCCCCAACCGAGGCATTCCAGAAGGATGTCGGGAGGAAGACTAATCTCACCACCTTCAACCCCAGCATTCTGGAGAAGTACTACAACAACCTGTTGACCATTCAAGATCGAAATAACTTTTTCCTAAGCCTGAAGAAGCTGGATGGTGCCATTCTCTGGATCCCAGCCTTTTTCTTCCATACTTCAGCAACCATTACAAGAACATTGGTTGACTTCTTTATCGAGCATCGTGGGCAGCTGAAAGTCCAGCTGGCTTGGCCAGGAAATATCATGCAACATCTCAACAGGTGCATTTAACTCACCCCTTGATGCTGTTGTTTGCTTTTGTTGTAGTTTGCAGCACAGTTGAGGAGCAGCAGTCAAGAATCGAGGGGTTTTCAAGAAAGGCAGTGGGTTGTTTATAAATGTGTTCATCATCATCATCATCATCATCATCATCATCAGCCACTCTGGGCAGCTTCCAAAAAAAATTAAAATACTGCAATACATCAAACATTAAAAGCTTCCCTAAACAGGGCTGCCTTCAGATGTCTTCTAAAAGTCTGGTAGTTGTTGTTCTCTTTGACATCTGGTGGGAGGGCATTCCACAGGGAGGGTGCCACTACCGAGAAGGCCCTCTGCCTGGTTCCCTGTAACTTAGCTTGTCGCAGTGAGGGAACCACCAGAAGGCCCTCGGTGATGGATCTCAGTGTCCGGGTAGAATGATGGGGGTGGAGACGATCCTTCAGATATACTGGACCGAGGCCGTTTAGGGCTTTAAAGGTCAGCACCAACACTTTGAATTGTGCTCGGAAACGTACTGGGAGCCAATGTAGGTCTTTCAAGACCTGTGTTATGTGGTCTCGGCGGCCGCTCCCAGTCACCAGTCTAGCTGCCGTGTTCTGGATTAGTTGTAGTTTCCGGGTCACCTTCAAAGGTAGCCCCACGTAGAGCGCATTGCAGTAATCCAAGCGGGAGATAACCAGAGCATGCACTACTCTGGTGAGGCAGTCCGCAGGCAGGTAGGGTCTCAGCCTGAGTACCAGATGGAGCTGGTAAACAGCTGCCCTGGACACAGATTTGACCTGTGACTCCATGGACAGCTGTGAGTCCAAAATGACTCCCAGGTTGCGCACCTGGTCCTTCAAGGGCACAGTTACCCCATTCAGGACCAGGGAGTCCTCCACACCTGCCCGCCTCCTGTCCCCCAAGAACAGTACTTCTGTCTTGTCAGGATTCAACCTCAATCTGTTAGCCGCCATCCATCCTCCAACCGCCTCCAGACACTCACACAGGACCTTCACTGATTCTGATTTGAAAGAGAGGTAGATTAAATTTGTAGCCTACTTTTGTTTAACAAAAAAAAAAACAAAGAAGAAATCATGATACAGTGGCCCAGTAACCACGTAATGCTAAGCCAAGCCATTACTTACAGTAGCACAAGCAAACATGCAGGTTGCTGGAGAGCAGATCAAGGGCACTTTGGTCCTGCTGCTACCCAGAGCTAAGCCATGGTTTGGCTTATTGCTGTGTGCAAACCCTGGCTTGTAGCTTATCTCCCCCCAACAGACCATGAGTGGTAAACCCAAGAACGAACCTTGGTTACAGATAATGGTTTGCCTCGAGTCTGACAAACCATGAGCCCAGGTTCAGGTGTAGCACTAAGAGAAACCATGACTTAACCCCTGTGGTAGGGGCAGGGAAGGAGTGTGGTAGCTGCCATCTTTGCTCCTGGAAGCCGTACATTTGCTCATTCGCACTCAACATTTGTGAACAATTGTAGCTAATCAAAATTCTTATTAAGATAAGATTGTCAGGTCTTTGCCGGTTTAGGTTGTTGGGTAAATGAACAAGGTCCACAAACTCTCAGAAGCTTGTGGTGGTGAGAGTAGAGAAGTGTAGAGTACATAGAAATTGCCACCAGGAGCTACAAAAACATATCTAAACAAGATGGGGGAAAACACAACCAGACTCAGGATCAGGAATAGACAGGGTGCAGCTGGGGCAGAGAGGAACCTACAGATCTTTAGATGTTGCTGAACTGCAACTTCCATCATCCCCGTCCATTGGCTATGCTGGCTGGAGCTGATGGGTGTTGGAATCCAGCAACCACAGGCACCCCATCCCAGATCTAGAGGGAAGCTTAGCCATGTACACTGAGCTCCCCCAGAAGCTAAGACTTGACTATTCTTTACAGTATCAGGGAATGATCATTGGGGGAACATAGGAAAGCTGCCTCACTCCAAGACATCCAGATGCTCTCATTATCAGTCAAAACAGAAGTCTAGATAGCCGTGTTGGCCCATGAGAAATAGTCCCTCTTGGGGCAGCCCCTTGATTGGGCCAACCAAAATATCACAGAAGACTGAACAAGCTCTTATATTGTCGAGATCCATCAGGTTAAGTGGGGAAAAGAGCAGCCGTGTGGCTTATCTTGAAGCCATGAAGTCTGCATCTGGTCACGGTTTTAATATGGAACAAGTAGCCAGCACTGGGTAGTGCGCTTTAAGTTGCTGTGCACATATCAGGGTTGCCCCAAAAGGTGAAGGAAGGCCCTTAAGCTTACCAGTAAAGGAATCTTTGAAAAGAAGCACAGAAGACAAGAGCTATCAGTGCATGACAGCCTTGGTTGGCCAAAGTTTCCATTTAGTACTGGCACACATGTCATCGTTCTGTGAACTTCTTTTCAAACACTCTCTTAAGTTTTGTGCAGTTCAGATGCAAATGTATGGGTAGAGTTTGAGTTCCTGACAGAGCAGTCCTTGTGCTCTGAGACACATGGAGCTATAATAAAGATTTCCTTTGCCCCAGGTATCAGCTGAGTCTCTCCCCTTTGGAGGGGAGGGGTTTTTGTTCTTTTAAGGTGCTCTTTCCCCTGTTTTCCTTGTGCCATAGATATCACGTTGCACCAAGTGCTTGCTAGGAACAAGAAGTACAGCAGCAGCTGACTCCTCGTCTCTGAAAAGATGAGAACAGTCAAGAACAGCTAGTCTTTTCGTCTTTTCAGAAATGAGATTCATCACTAGAGCACTCACAAAAGCAGGCATAGGCAAACTCGGCCCTCCAGATGTTTTGGGACTACAACTCCCATCATCCCTAGCTAACAGGAGCAGTGGTCGGAGTGATGGGAGTTGTAGTCCCAAAACATCTGGAGGGCCGAGTTTGCCTATGCCTGCACAAAAGCTTGCACATTGTTTTTCGATGTCGTGGTTGGCCTAGTAAAGATATTGCCCTAAAAGGGATTTCAAAATGACATTATTATGCATTTCCAGAACATTTCCATTCAATATATATATAATCCGTTTCCCATGTCATGCTTTCTTCTTATTTCGCAGGTATTGGAAAAACAAGCACTTGGCACCTAAACGGCTCAGTACAGGTATTCTGATGTATACGCTGGCATCTGCAATTTGTGACGAAATCCACCTATACGGGTTCTGGCCTTTTGGATTTAATCCGAACAACAGGGAAGACCTTCCATACCATTACTATGATAAAAAAGGAACAAAGTTTACGACCAAGTGGCAAGAGTCCCACCAGCTCCCTGCCGAATTCCAGCAACTCTTTCGAATTCACGGCGAAGGTCTAGCAAAGCTGACGTTGTCCCAGTGTGCCTAAGGATTTAACACTTGAAGTGCCAAATGATTGTCGTTGTTTTTTAAGTAAAAAAAAAAAAGTGCCCAAAATGAATTCACCGTTTTTTTCAAAACAGAATTCTAAATGGAGGGGAAAAAAAGAATTTATGGGCAGGGATTTCCTTTGATTCAGAGATGCTCTGAAAGCACCCTTTTATTGCCATCTTTTCAAGCATTGGAGGGTGTCTTTAGCATATTTAGCAATGCAGAAGGATTTATTCTATTTGTGCAGTAGGAAAGTCAAAGCTGTTTACAGCAGAAAGTTTTGCATTTCTGGTTATGCTGCCAAGATGGCTCTCTTTAAAGTATTTTCATAGTCACGTATTTTTCACATTCCGCAAAATGTCTCAAAACGTTGAATGTTAAATCACCTGTGTTTGCTTATTAAGATTCTTGGCTTGTTTTCTTGGCTAACTTGCACAACTCCTCTTAGTAGCTGAAAAACAGTTTGAGGACCGCTCCTGAATGTTCTGACCGAATGACCATTTGCACCAGTATTAACTCCTTTAAGGTCAATGGGAATATATCACTGTAAGTGGCCATTGTATTATTCCAAAGATCTTTCATTAGCATAACAAGCCCAATGGGGAGTGAAATATACTTTCCATGCAGGCATGCAGAGATGGTCCATTGGATACCCAAGGGATGCATTTGGCCCTTGTCACAATCTTTTGTGGACTCCTATTTCCATCCCAACCACTATGGCTAGGTAGAGAAGATCTGGACAGGGCCAGGCAGCCTCTGACTTAACCTGTGCCACTCCCAGTGTGCTTCTCAAGAGAGAGACTTAGCAAATGCCCTTTGTAAAGAAAGAGTATGCCACCAGAAGTCTCTGTGGCAATACAGAAACTTCTGTAGCACCCAGTCATATCTCAAAGGGCATCTGTGAAAGCAAGAATTGCCACATCCCGTCCTAGGCCAATTCAACCAAGGGGGCTTCCGAACCAACCTACCAAGGAGGTCGCAGCCTCTCCTCAGCCAAAGGGCGCAGGCATGACACCATAGGAGTTCGTTCATCAAAGAACCCGGTCTGGGACAGTCTGGCCCCTGAGGCTGAAGATATTGGCCGTAACTGCTCTACAGTTTCGAATAGACCACGAACGCAATGCTAAAATGCTAGGCTGTGTTGAGACTAGTTAGAAAAGCTACAGACAAGTTTGAGCAATAGTTTCTGATGAGTTTGAAGTTCTTGGATCAGGGATGAGAAAGCTCTGTTGCTATCAACATGGTGCCCTGCCATGTCCCATCCTGGTCTTCACAGGGGGGGGCAGGACAGTGGCAACACCTCACCTCGTGTCCCAGAGTGTCCCCATCCCTGCTGTAAATTGAGAGGATTCATGAGAGTTCCAGACTAAGGTCTCCATCTCTCCTCGTCTAATATCACCCAAGTATTTGTTCTGACATGGCTAATGGAGGAATGCCATTGTTTTCACACCAGGGCTGGGAATGTTGGTTTTTTATTTCCCTCTAGAAATCTACTTCACTTCTAAACTTCACTGTTGCTATAATGCACTGCTTTCCAGGAGTTTAAACCCCAAGCTACATCATGGTGTGGGTGGGTGTGTATGTGTGTGTGTGTGTGTGTGGGTGGGTGTGTATTGTTGGGAGTTTGAGGGTCTTCCCTAACTATACATTTTTGGCATTGTCCCTTAGGGTCGAATCAGTTACTTAACTTTCTGTTGTTTACAGTTGGTAGTTATGTCAACCTGGAGAAGTTTCAACTCTCTTTGACTGCCTCTTTGCGAAGACATTACTCCCCGGATTTTGCAGTGTTGAAAATTCCTTAGCTAGACTCATTTATTAAACAGTTTTAAAATACCTTTTAAAAAACTCTCCCAGTTTAGTCAAGCAGCAAGGGTGGTTTTTTTGTCTGTTTTTAAAACAAACTTTAACACAAGCATTAAAAGTACCGTCATAAAACAGGCACACGCACCCCCTCTCATGCAAGAGATAATTCCTCTTTTAAAAGAGAAAAACATACAACAACAGCAAAAACGATGATTTTGCTTCAAAATTATTTTGCCCATCTGAAGATTTTTGCAGATTTAAAGCAATAGATTGATCAGAGTAGTCAACTAAAATATGTATGATTAATCAAGCATGGGTCTTCTGGGGGGTGGAATGGGATGGACCATCTTTCAAGTCCTTCCACTTTCCAAAATTTAAGTCTCAGAAACAATTAAACTTGCAACGTATACCATAATCCTGCAGAACTTGCTTTTTCAAAAGGAAATAAATAAATAGTGATTTCAGCTTCGTTGAGTGTGCCATGAGCTTTGCTAAAGACTTCAAAGGATCTGCTCTTTAAGGTCCTCTACTGAAATAACAGCCCATTGACATTAATGGTCTATCACTGGAGCACCTTGGGGATCAAAGCTATTCAGCCTATATTTCAATATAATCTTGATTGTTTGTTTTAACCTCAAGCTTTGATATTATTGATGTATGGTTCAAAAGCTTCATTGGTGTTAGCTGAGCTGGTTCAGATGGCCGTATCCTGTCCTTAAACACATGCTTCTTCTCTTCCCCTCCACAAAAAATGTATAGGAACTGATTTGCACTTCCATTATTCCACCATGATATTCCACTGAAGAAGACCCTGCACTTAACATATGTTTCCCAGTGATATCATTGACATCAATAACCGTTTGCCATTGTGTGCTGTATTGGAGGCAGATAGTGGAAGAACAGTGCGACAAAAAGTAGTAGCCTGATCCTGTATTTGATACATGTGTACTTGGGGAGAAGCAGATAGGAGTTATTAAATGTGGGAAATGAAACGGAAGCCTCCTGACTTGCCATTTTTGCAGATGGGACCCTGAGGATAGTAAGCTCCTAAAGAGAGCCTATCTCATTGTGTTAGTTACCCTAGATTGCTGAGGTTTTTGTTTTGTTTTGTTTTGTTTTGTTATGGTTTTTTAATACATGTTAATGTAAGATAACATGTAGTGGTCCAGGCATTTGGGGACTTCCAAGCTAAGTCCTATATTAAGAACTTGATCAGAAGCCAGCCTGATTATTCTATTTGAATTATAATTGTCATCCTTGACGACAATTCAGGGAAGGCATTCATTGAACGTTTGAACAGCACTGATCTCTAATTATTGATATGTTGTTGCATTAATAGGGACATAGTAATAGTGTTTGTGTTACCCACAGACTAATGTGCTTTGTGAGTATCTCTCTCTCTCTCTTTTCTCAATTTCTAGTTGATGACGGTAAGAAATTGCACTGACCACTTATGTGCTCCTTATTGTATAGCTACTGTTGTTACCAAGTCACAAAGTTGGCCATCAATCCAGCTAAGATGAATTGCTGGGTATAATGGCCTGCAGTCTTTGAACCTCTTTAACAAGAGCAATCCATTGACCGCAGTAGAAATCCACCCAAGAAAACATTGTGCAGGTTAACACTTATGGCTCTGTAAAAAGAGAGGAGAGAAAGAGATCCAAGAAAGAAAACAAATTATTCAGACATTAGTAATTGGAATTCAGAAAGGTATTGACAACGAAAGGGTCATATCATAGTCATTGATTTTCATGTGGAATTCACCATTGATATTTCATAACCTCATTGAATATTTCAGAGCCATAGATTCCATCAGGGAGTCCAACTTCAAAATCAACAGCTCAATATCATCCAAAGCAAATTACTTTTTTTGACGTATCAATACACTTGGTTTCAGGGCAGAAGTCTCTCCTTAAAGCTAAGTGTATGATTCACGACCATGTATTTCCTATATGCTGCTTTAATCCTGCTTTTGAAAACTGGTGTGATCCTACAGTTGTTGGCCAAAACTGTAAATAGCTTTTATTTTTCTGCTTGCATCAGTTGAAAGGACTTCCACTGTGTTTGTCCATTACCGAGCCCAAGAGTTCAACAATCGTATAAATGCTTGAGTACCATCAGTCCTGAAATGGTATGTAACGCTCATGCAACATAGATTTTTAAATGAGTTGTGAATTCTAGGGTGACACAACTCCTTGAGTAGCATGGCTTCTAGAGTAGCGTGGGTCCTTGACTAAGAGATTCAAGAGATAGATAGACGCAGCAGAAATGTAAATATAGGGCAGGACTTAAATAAGATGTCTATCAAAACAAACAAACATTAATCCAATTATTCTAGGACCTCTTTTCACCACTGTACCAAGTGATCTGTTCGGGGCATGAGTGTTCTGGTATGTGCACACAGCTTTCCCACCTGGAAGGTTAGGCAATTCATTTTAGTGGAAGGAACCAGCTAAGCCGTGTAGCTTGGCTCCCTTCATTGAAATTAATGGCGGGGCACATTCCATGTGCACAAGAGGTCCATGTGTGCATCTTGGCAGACAGTAGACGTTTAGACTGGGGTGCTTGACATCTTTGCTGTTCTTGACAGCATCGTGCATGAAGACCTACCTTGCATTCACTGAAATTAAATGAGAAACTTGCACTGCCTGTGGTGGAAGGAAGCTCACATCCAAACGTATGTGTTCAAGATGCATGCGTATTCCATTGTCCACGTATGTAACATGCCTTCATTCTCACCTGCAGAAGACCCGCAATGGCATCAAAGAGATATGCATGTGCAAACACTCCGAATGGCAGTCCCCAGTCCCCATGCTGGTACATACTGCTGTTTACAACATGTGTTGTTAAGCTCTAGATTTGATTAGGCATCGATAGATAGGCCTTGGTCAAAATAATCAAAACTACCTGTGAGGATCTGATGACTGGGCTGGCAATTGAGACACACATATTTCAAGACTGGAAATCCAGCTCAAATCTATGTACTCTGGCTCACATGATCGTCCATTGTCAATTGGTCTATATAAAATATAGAACAGGCATGCAGAAGGGAGATTGAGATCTACTAGTAGATTTCTGAGTGACTGGCAGTAGATCAACAAAGATTTCTGATTCCCTAATTTCATGGACTTACGCGCAGGTGTGTACTTCTTAGCATCCATCCATTTACAGTGGGCCTGCACAACTTTTGATAGAGGGAACCAAAGGCAGACAGTTGTCCAAGCATGGTCAAAGCATAGGAGGTCCAAGGAAGATGGAGGGGGGAAACTTGCCTGGAGCTGCACAGCCAGGGGGAGGGGGCTCCTGACAGACCATAATATGGTGAGTTTGTTGAGTGCAGCCCCAATCAGATACCAACAAGTTGTCTACTCCCATTTCTTTCCTTTAAGCATCCAAAATCTCCAAAAAGCCAAGAATAGGAAATCTGAATGGAGGTTGCAAGCAGAGGACAGGATCCTGTAAATAAGTGTGAACTACTCTAAGGAGCTTGCTGTTCCTTGCTGAGTGGCATCATCTTTACACAGAAATCGCATTCTTCAGAAATTCTGCCATGGTCATCAAAACCAACCATTTGTTCTTAAATAGCCATATTAGAAAGTCTTTATTTTTCAGGTAGCAAATGTACACTAGAGTCAGGATTTAATCTCAGGTGAAATGGTGTGGAAAGCTGCACAATGTTTCAAAACGTTTGGCATGGGGGAGGAAAAAACCTGGAGGTTGTCCTAGTGAAGTCAGTGGAGATTTCACTGGTGGGGGAACCAGTCAACAAGCAAGCGCCATTAAATGAATGAAGCGTTGCCCTGATGCACAACTTAATTCATTTTTGATGGAGGAGTTGTTCCCAATAGCTTGTGTAGAACTCGGTTCAGCTCCAGGATAATAAGTATTAAAGATGTATGAAACAGGGCCACACCTCTGAGATTGGAATGTGATCTGTACAATGTAATGTACATGTAAATATTTCGTCTAACTTGTTCATTGCCAGCTAGTTCATCCAGCCAAAATTAAGATGTTTCAACCTTACCGGTTTCAGTGGGAGCATCAGAAACCTCCTCTGAAATCAAAGAGGCTGAAAGGTTGGATCCAGTTTGGTTGGATTGTACACCTTGGTGTGTGTATTTTCTTTTCTTTATTGTTTCCTTGTAGATGAATTCTGCATAGTTATTGTGATTGAAAATTATTGGGGGTGGGGTGCGGGAGATTTGCAACGATTCCTTTTGAATATTTCAACAACGTTATTGTCGGGTGTGGATGTGCCTGCCACATTGACTCATGTGCCAAAACATGATATTGAATGCATTGTTTTTAAATAAAATGTTTTATTGTGCACTGGAAACCCCCCAGGCCTTCTCTATCTCTTTGTCCTCGCCAGACTTTGTAGGATCTGTTAGTTGTTCTGGATGCTCTGCAGATGTTCACATCAACACAGCAAGGCAGAAGACTCTAGCTCAGCAGTGTATAAATGCAACAGCCTAATCATGAGAACTTGCATATTTATGTAAAGGTTGCCCAAAAATTGGATGTTCCCTTCTTTCTTATTTAAATAAGTAAGTAATCTCCACTTTTATTACTTCGTGACCATGGTTTCAAATTTCCATTAAGTACCACCATAACAGTTCAGTGTATGATACAGATACTAAATGGCCTCGGTCCAGTGTACCTGAAGGAGCATCTCCACCTCCATCGTTCTGCCCAGACACTGAGGTCCAGCGCCGAGGGCCTTCTGGCGGTTCCCTCTCTGCGATAAGCCAAGTTACAGGGTACCAGGAAGAGGGCCTTCTTGGTAGTGGCACCCGCCCTGTGGAATGCCCTCCCACCAGATGTCAAAGAGAAAAACAACTACCAGACTTTTAGAAGACATCTGAAGGCAGCCCTGTTTAGGGAAGCTTTTAATGTTTAATAGGTTATTGTATTTTAGTGTTTTGTTGGAAGCCGCCCAGAGTGGCTGGGGAAACCCAGCCAGATGGGCGGGGTATAAATAATAAATTATTATTATTATTATTAGATATCAACCGAGAACTCATCAGGAAATAAAAAACCCAGAGAGAGAAGAGAAGAAGAGTTTTGGATTTGATATCCCGCTTTATCACTACCCGAAGGAGTCTCAAAGCAGCTAGCATTCTCCTTTCCCTTCCTTCCCCACAACAAACACTCTGTGAGGTGAATGAGGCTGAGAGACTTCAGAGAAGTGTGACTAGCCCAAGGTCACCCAGCAGCTGCATGTGGAGGAGCAGGGAAGCGAACCCGGTTCACCAGATTATGAGTCCACCACTCTTAACCACTACACCACCTTGCCAAGACAGGAGACCACTGGGACCTCTATGTTAAGTTGGCACCAGTGTGTCCACCAGGACCTTCTGTGGCACCTGTAAAAGGACTCAGTAAATATCCCCTCAAAAATACACAGTGGGCAGGAGACTGAGCTTCCTACTCAGCTCCTGTTTGCTCTTGCTTAGCCAGTACTGCAGTAAAACATTCACTTAAATATGCCCACATTTCACTGGATGCCAGGACTGGACATGCTCTCTTCTGTTCTAGACAGAGGATGGATGCAAAGGGCATCTCTCGCTGAGTGAGTTTGGAGTTGCCTAGCTTAGGTGCCTTTCTCCCTATTTGGCAGAGAGGTGGCCCTGATATATGAGTCTGCTTGCCCTGTTTTTTGCTCTTGTCTTGTCTTTCAAATAATAATAATAATAATAATAATAATAATAATAATAATAATTTATACCCCAGCCACTCTGGGTGGCTCCCAACAGAATATTACAAACATAATAAAACATCAGACATTAAAAACTTATCCACTCTTCGCCACAAGTTTCTAGGACAGTTACAATAATAAAATGAAAAATTATAAAACAAATAGAGCAGTTTTTTTAGGGGGAGAAAGGTGCCAGTAGTCACCATGACGTTGTTACAGTAAGTGCCATATTTTTAACATTTGAGTACCCTCAGAAAAAAGCATTGGTTGCAACCATAAAACAAGTGTGGGGGGAGGGGATTACATGTATAGAAACAATTCTGTCCAGTGCTATTTTTCTCGAAAAAGAGGTGCCGGAACTCACCACGAACTTCTCCCTTGTCTTCTTAGAATGGCTATGACTGGGGGGGAAAGCCCTGATTATGTCACACCCTTACAGCAGCCATTTTGTGCTATAACACAGACTCCCCCACCACAGCAGCCATCTTGAATCAGAATTTAAAATGACCTTAACAGATTGGAGAACTGGGCACAAGCTAACAAAATGAATTTCAATAGGGACAAATGAAAGGTTCTGCACTTAGCAGTGGCGTAGCGTGGGGGGTGCAGGGGGGGCCGGCTGCACCGGGCGCAACATCTGGGGGTTAGGGTTAGGGGGCGCAAATCCACGGGTTAGGGGGCGCAAATCCACGGGTTAGGGGGTGCAAATTACTTGCCTTGCCCCGGGTGCTGACAACCCACGCTACGCCACTGGCACTTAGGCAGGAAGAGCCAGATGCACAAATATAGTATGGGGGACACCTATCTTACTAGCAGTACATGTGAAAAGGATCTAGGAGGCTTGGTGGACCATAAGCTTAACATGAGTCAAAAGTGTGGTGCAGCAAAAGAAAGCTAATGCTATTCTAGGCTGCATCAGCAGAAGTATAGTGTCCACATCAAGGGAAGTAATATTCCAGGTGTGGTCTGCCTTGGCCAGACCACACCTGGAATATTGTGTCCAATTACGGGCACCACAATTTAAGAGGATGTTGACAAGCTGGAACATGTGCAGAGGAGGGCAACCCAGATGATCAAGAGTCTAGAAACTAATCCTTATGAGGAGCGCTTGAAGGAGCTGGGTATGTTTAGCCTGGAAAAGAGGAGACTGAGAGGAGATATGACAGCCATCTTCAAATATCTAAAGGGCTGTCACATGGAAGATGGAGCAAGCTTGTTTTCTCCTGCTCTGGAGGGTAGGACTCGAGGCAATGGCTCCAAGTTACAAGAAAGGAGATTCCGACTAAAAATCAGGAAGAACTTTCTGACAGTAAGAACTGCTTGACAGAGATAGGAACTACCTCAGAAGATGGTGGACTCTCCTTTCTTTGAGTTTTTTTAAGCAGAGGTTGGATGACCATCCGTCATGGATGTGTTAGTGAAGATTCCTGTGCTGCAAGGAGTTGGACTAGATGACGCAAAAACACAAGGCTCAAGGTTTTGCCAGCCCTTCAACCAGTTCTGATTACTGCAGTCTTCTCTTACACAGAGAATCCTTTCCAACCACATTTTAGCCTTTTCAAAATGGTCCCATATTAGAACAATATATGGCAGGCTTCCTTAACCTCGGCCCTACAGATGTTTTGAGACTACAATTCCCATTGTCCCTGATCACTGGTCCTGCTAGCTAGGGATCATGGGAGTTATAGGCCAAAAACATCTGGAGGGCCGAGGTTGAGGAAGCCTGATATTAGAGGGGGGTCTATAGAGGGGGGAATCTTTTCTGCCAATGATTTAGGGCATCATCTTGGACCAGTCACGAAACTTAGATCCTATTCTGTAAAAATTTCAAGTACTTTGCAGGACCGTTGTGAAGATGAAACACACAAAAAAACTTCGTACATATTAAAACTTCTAGCTTTTTCTTGCACCTCTGATGGTTTCAATCACAGTTTTATATGTTTGTATATCTTGAAAGTCAACACTACTTGTTCTATCTTAATTCTTATGACTGTACTCTCCACTTAACTGTTTGTAGCTCATCACAAATATCCATATAACCAGCTATATTATTTCCCCTTGTGAATGTGATATCCCATGCCAGCCTTGGTTTTCTTTGGTTTGGTTTTTATGTGTTAGTCTCATGGTGTTCTATTTTGTCACCGGGGTTATATGGTTAAGTTCAATAATAATAATAATAATTCCCCCAAAGCAAAAGTGCTAGAATTGTTGGGTTTGGCCATAATTGTGCGAATTTTAAATGAGTTGTATTTGGCTACAAAAGAAGAGGTCGTTCATGAGGACTGTGATATGAAGAAAAGCATTAAAGCTATATGGAAGAAATGAATGGAGATGCAGCACTGTAAAACAGAACAGATCATGATCAAGGAGAGATCATTCCATGTAGATGAAGAAGAGTTTGGATTTGATATTCTGCTTTATCACTATCCGAAGGAGTCTCAAAGTGGCTAACATTCTCCTTTCCCTTCCTCCCCCACAAGAAACACTCTGTGAGGTGAGTGAGGCTGAGAGACTTCAGAGAAGTGTGACTGGCCCAAGGTCACCCAGCAGCTGCATGTGGAGGAGCAGAGACGCGAACCCGGTTCACCAGATTACGAGTGCACCGCTCTTAATCACTACACCACACTGGCTCTCATTCAGATCATTCAGTTCTCTCCCCCCCCTTTTTTTTGTATAGTTGTTTGGTATAATACAATGCACACCTTCCAAAACTGAATATCTTACAGATTACCTTTGTAATACAAAAATACACTGTACTTTTCCGTGTATAAGACTAGGTTTTATTCTTTAAAAAATATGCTTAAAAGTGGGGGTCGTCTTATACATGGAGAGTGCACAGGGTGGACATTTGATTGGTTGCTGCCACGGCTGTCAGCGGCTGTTGGGCGTGTTATTGGTTCCTGCGTCAAGGGCTGGTGTTGATTGGCTGATGTTGCGGCAATTGGGTGAGGGGACATACGAGAGGCAGATTTTGCGCTGTGTGCCACTGAGTGATTTTTGGCAATACCACCTTTAAAAAGCTCAGCAGGGGGCATCTTATACATGGCAGCATCTTATACAGAGAAAAGTACGGTATATTTACTCTAGGGTTGGTGTGGTTTTAATGAACAGCGTGTATCAACATGGACAAATGGGCACATTTGCACAGAGACATAGGGAACCCACACAATCCACAGCGGATTTCAATTACTGTCCCGTCGATATGGAAAATTACAGTACCAACTGATAGCTGACAATGTGAAGACTGAAGAAGTTTCATGCATCACATGACCAGTATGCATACTCCCTAAGTCGGGGATCCAAACAGTGACCAGACCATATACACATGCGCCAATTTTTGTTGCTAGCTTGTGCACATTCTTCAACATCACTTGGAAACTCTGCATTTTATCATTATCATTATCATTAGCGGGTGGAGCTGTGGGTAAAACCTCAGTGCCTAGGGCTTGCCGATCGCATGGTCGGCGGTTCGAATCCCCACGGCGGGGTGAGTTCCCGTCTTTCGGTCCCAGCTCCTGCCCACCTAGCAGTTCAAAAGCACCCCTAAGTGCAAGTAGATAAATAGGTACCGCTTTATAGCGGGAAGGTAAACGGCGTTTCCGTGTGCTGCGCTGGTGCTGGCTCGCCAGAGCAGCTTCGTCACGCTGGCCACGTGACCCGGAAGTGTCTCCGGACAGCGCTGGCCCTCGGCCTCTTAAGTGAGATGGGCGCACAACCCTAGAGTCGGACATGACTGGCCCGTACGGGCAGGGGTACCTTTACCTTTTATTATATTTATGAGCCTCTGGGCAACAGAGTCCTCTGAGCAAATCACAAATAATATATCAGTTTAGCACAATTATAGAATGCAATCAAAAAAGCACTGAAAGCCAATGACCAAGGCAGCTTCGTGACCAGGAAGTGTGCAAAATTCTCTGTTCATGCTGTCAGTTTGTGTGCGTTCTCTGTACCTTCGATAGAACACACACCACTATTAGTGTCCTTTGCTGTTTTACCATTGATCGCAATGTGTGCATGAATGTGCATACGTCCGGGAGAATCCCTGCCTTAGCTCGCCCTGAATTAGATCACACCGTTTCCTTTCTTTCGACCCACTGGTCTTCGAAACGAAAAGGCCTATGCTAATAGAAAGGACCTCGCTTGGCCAGGCCTGAAGGTGCTGACCTTTGCTTGCCTGTGCCCTGGGAGGCGAAGGGTGGGGTGAAATCAGGCTGTCTATGGATAAAGGCAGCTCATTAGATCATCACCTCTGAGATGCTGCATTGAAAGTGCAGCAGGCTGTATCGAGGACTTCCTAATGCCAGCCTCCTTAAGGCAGAAGCCATTTGTATCCGGTGACAGTGGGGCAATCTCATATAAAAGGTCAGCCTCAAGTAGAGTTACCAAGTGACCAGGAAGTCGGGGGGGGGGTATCCTGAGCCCTTAACTGCAGAAATAAGCAGGTGAATATTTTTTTTCCCAGCAGGGAGAAATAGACACGTCCCCTTGTTAATACTTGCCTGTTGAAGTCACAAGTACCATGGGCCGCAGAAAAACTGGCAATTTTCAAACTGTCATCTGCGCACCACAAGTCCAGTTCTGCTGGGAAGATTTTTGAACAGTGAAGAATATCTGTATTTGGTCTTGTGATCAGTTGATTTTCTGATTGTGGCAGCTTTAACGTGGGACAGCCTGCTAACAGGCTAGCAAAACTCTGGCCTAGGAACCATGGTTTTCATAATATGTCACTGGTTTTCGTGAAATGCACCAAAAAAGTATGGGATTTCTCTTTCGGAATTATAGGAACAAAATCCAAAAACTAATGGACAGGATACTTTTGGAGAAGGAAGCCAGGTGGATTCTGAGGTTGACATCGTGGCTCCTATAGGCTTTAATAAGATTCTGGGGTGATTACCATAACTTTGAGATACAGCTATTTGGAATTTGGAGTAGTTGGGGAGGTATATTTGGCCCTAGTTGCTTGGTTTAGTATAACATAACAATACAACACATTTAAATGTTGAATCATTATTTCACCAAGCAAGTAATCAGTCTTAACATTCATTTTCAATCTAGTATAATAAGTATTAGAATACTTTTTCTTGATCACTGTGTATTTCGCTTTCTGAAAAAGATCAATGTAGGGTGTTAGTTGCTCATGTGCTCCTTTTAAAGTCAATTATGGTTTTATATACTTTACATCGTATCTATAGACTTATATCATAGGACACTATTCAGCTCTGAAGTTTAATATAGATTCTTAAAACAGATTTTGGATTTCCCTGTCGAAGAACCAGCGGGGTCTGAAACGTGCTAAATTAGCATGTTTTGTCTACCTGCTGGTTTTTGTTCCTGCTTCCAACTAGTTTTGATGATGATGATGATGATGGAAAAACAAGTTTATTAAATGCTAAACCAGGACCCACAGCAATTCTCAAGGAATACACACACACAAACCACTTGAGGACCCTGCTTTGGTTTGAAGGAACAGGCAGGGAGCAGGAGATAGCATGTATGGGCACAACCTTTTTCAAATATCTCACATTGTCATGCCACAGAAAATGCCCATGTGCAGACACATAGGTTTTGGGTGATTTCTTCCACTGTAAGAAAACTGTAAGATATGAAATGGTTATAGCTTTCTCCTCAACCAGCTCCTGGAAATCTTGTGGAATCGGTCAGGAAATAACCCTTGCAGGACACCCTGTTCCAGGACTTCAGCTGGGTGAATGTACAGAATGGGAGGGAAGTAATCTGACCAGACTGCTGCGATCAGTTCAATAAACCAATAGAGAAAAATCTGGATTCACACAAGCCAGCACTAGATAGATGGCAACAGCATTCCACATTTACACAGCAAGCTCCGAGTGTTGCAATCATTTCACATATATTATCTTGGCTAAACTTATGACAGGCCCATAAAGTGGGCCAGGATTGTTGCCTACGTACAGGTAACTCGCAACTTACCCACATTTAACTTATGTGCATTCAGCTTTACATCCTTGTCAATCAAAAATTAAAAAGGGGTCAGAAGAGGGGTGGGCGTCAGGGGGAAAAAGACTTCGGCAAGCCCACCCACCATAGACTCCAATGCTTTTTGACACTGTGTGTTAATGGCTTTACGCACTAACCCAGCATACGTTGAGCGTTGCCTGTATTGCAAGTGAGGACTGGGGGACAGTGACTTGTCCAGAGTCCTCCTCTTTAAATTCCTGGCATGGGCAAAAAATAAAAATAAAAAATTGTAAAGTTGGCATGGGCAAAATTTAACCTAAGAACTTCCTGGCAATTGTGCTCTAGATAAACTGATTGTATGAGAGCAACATACCGTAGATTTTAATTGAGGGCATGCTGTATCTCAACAACAACAGCTGCGTCTAGTCCACAACTGGATCTTAGTTTGGTTTGGATATTTCATTCCAGTGGACAATTCCACTTCTCTTTGGAACGTATTACGAACAGTGTGGTTCCATGGAGAGCAAGTTGCCGCAAAGCCATTGCTATCTGCAGCCTTGGGAAGACCAAATATAAACCTGCAGTCCAGAAAGTTTTAGGTTATCTCTCTGTAACTCAACATATTTATATGTACCTATCCAACTGAAGTGTTTGGTTATATTATCTACCAGGGCAGAAACAAAGACAAAGATAAAAGTTCAAACTATGCAGAAACATTTCGGCAGTCATTCTGCTCCATTGAAACCAAGGGGGAGTTTTGCTGATGACTCCAGCAGCAAAAGGATTTCAGCACTGCAACACTGCACCTGTTTATACTCTGAAGCAGGCAAGGCTCTGTGCAACGGGACTCTGAACCCCTATCTGAGTGCAGAAAGGAGGCCTAACGCTGTTTGCTCAGAACTAAATTCTACTGAGTTCAGCTTGGCTTAGTTCAAGAAAAGTACTGTATGCAGAGGAGGACTGCATCTTTAATTATGGGAGCAGGGAGGGATATGAAAGGGTCGTGTTTTCTGATGTTTGCCAGTGTGTTTATTGCACTGACCTAAACTGCCTGCTAGATCCTTCCTCCTTCAGTTGAAAAGCTAAAACAGCTAAGAACCTTAAATAAACAGATTTATTGTAGCATTCGCTTTCCTGGACTGGTTTCCTGGTTTCGTCTCCTTTCTGAGTTTCTCCCAAAGCCGCTTGTCAGAGAATCCCAAATCAGCCAAGGATGAAGAATCTTCCGCAGGGAGAGTCTCCTTTTCCGTGGCTGCTTCAGGGGGCGGGGGCTCCGCGGGAAGAGAGAAAGAGATGGGAACTGGGGTCCCAAATTTGCCCTCTGGTCTCCTTCGCCCATTGCTTGCAGCCGAGATGAAAACCTTTCCTTGGGAAATGCCAATTGTGTACTGCTGCGGGGGGGGTCCCTTATTTGGCATGGGAGCTCTCCTTCTGCCTGGCCGATTCCGGGTATTCCCGAAGAGTTTTAGACTATACATTTGCCTACAAAAATAGCATCTTCCGAACGGATGGAAGGGCAGCCACAAAAATCACATTTCTGGGTGGGTTGTTTCTTTTTTGACACCCCTCCTCCATTTTTCCTTTCAGCTTCCCATCTCCAGGACACGTCTTTTCTAACATTTCTGACACTCTTAGTAGACAGCTAGATCTCTCTTAAAACCAGAAATTTCCAGGAAAAGTTGGGACAGCCATATATATATTTATATGGCTAGTCTTTTGTGCAATTAATAAATATCAGAGAAATGAGAGATAGATATACACATTTTAATCTATGTGTAAACATAAAGCATGCATGAATTATATTTCTTATTATTCATATTGCACCCTCCTCAACTCAGGCTGGCAGATTTAAATATATACCTCATGAAGTCCACTACAAACCGATCTTTTACAAACCTCTTTCAGGTATAGCCTGGATTTCCCCTACTCTGAGCTGTAGGATCTTACACAGTTTTTTATATATATATATATATATATATTTAAAGTCAGCGAATGGAAAACGAAGAATTAGACTCAGCTAAGTCACCGCATCAAAAATTAGAAAAAAAAAGTTTTCCATATCGCCGACCACACCGAGGTCCAAATCCAGCAGGAATTGCCGAGTAGGTTTTCATTGTGCGTTGGATTTAGATGGATCTCTGAGCCGATTTGAGCTGAATTCCGCTCGAGTGCTTTCCGGATCGAGCTGCAGGAAAGCTCACGAGCCGGTTTACAAGGCTTTGATTTGCTCGATTAATTGGAAGTTTACTGCTTTCAGCAAAAGTTACTACCGAGGAGTTGAGGGAAGTGCTTTCGGGATCTTGGGCAGGTGTTTGCGTGGAGCGCGAAGCCGTGAAGAAATTGGTTGGATGTCAGGAAAACTCTTCAAGCAAACACCCGGGAGTTAAAAATATATATATACAAATTTCCTTTGTTCCCATACCGGCTTAGAAAGATATTTCCAAAAATATAGTTTTTCGGGCACCTTCCACCGAAAAGAGCTGAAACCTAGTAAATTTTTCATGCTATTCTTAAAGTTTCCAAAGACCTCAGATCGAAGCAGGCTTTCCTATAGCTCAGAACAGTCGCTGCCTGTAGATTTATCGTTTCCAACAAGTGGGAAACTTTCCCCTAAAGTAAAAAAGAAAGAAAGGAAATTATTTATAGCTCAAACTTCTCGGGTTTAAAATTCGTATGTCCTCCTCCTCCTCTCCCTCTCCCTCTCCTTCCCTTAAACTTCAGAAAGAGAGACGTCGGCTGGATTTCTCTTTTGGATTTCTCACAAGTAAACGTGAAATGTCCTCGACCAGCGAGAGAGTCCACCCCAAAGTGGCGATAAATTAAAAAATCGCGGCCCGAGTTTCTCCTCCGAAGCCAGCTTCCGCTTTCGGAGAGTTAAATTTGTCCCTTTGACAATCAACAGCAACTTTTGCCTTCCTTTTGAAAGCGCAACAAAAAGATTTCACGCCCAACTTGAGCGGAACAAAGAGACCTCGCGCCGCTTTGCTTCGGGACCCCCCCGCCGCCCCGCCCGCCTCCTCCTCCCGTGTTAAACGGAGGGTGAGTCGCTTGTTAGGGGGGATGAGAGGAGAAGACTCAATTTTATACATACTTTCTTATTTGAAGGAAACGTGTCCCTGAGTTGGAGTCAGGAGAGGACTGCGGGTTTGAAAGGAAAAGGAAAATTCGGTATCTCTCCATATAGGACGTTAAAAGCTTTCAGTCTCATTGGATTTATTTATTTTTTTATTTTTTCTAAAATGTAAAGAAAGAAAGAAAGAAAGAAAGAAAGAAAGAAAGAAAGAAAGGTTATAAAATAAGCCACGTAGATAAATAAAGTATAATTAAATAATCCAGATGCAGAAAGTATATAGAAATAAAATGTAGACAGAGGTGTGTATAAGAATATATAAAAGGACGTACACATATAAAGTCTAGTTGTACAGTCTCACAAATAAAGCATGCATAAGATAAAATTGGGTATGTTTAAGAAAGGTACTGCGTAAGATGTAAGAATGGGAAGGTTCTGTAGCTGGGTTAAAGTGGCCTTTGAATTTAAATAACTAAAACGTATTGTATTGTATTGTATTGTATTGTATTGTATTGCTACCACCAACTTGCGTGTGCTCCTGGGGAGTCTGGTGTATGAATGCACACATGCAGGTGAGCATAGGGGTACACACACCTCGCGTACACGGTGGGGTCAGCATCCCAGTTAAACCAAATTCTTTGGCGTTCAGCCGGATGGAGTCCTCTTGGAAATACAAACAGCACCGGAATCGAATCAAGAGGACGATGGAAACGGCAGCCTGCTGAACTCCTGGGGTGTCTTCAGTTTAATAGGAGGGACAGGGGCAAAATGTCGCTTCTCTTTCACCACACACCCCCTCCCATTTCCCCCTTTGAGGCTTTCAATTGGGAAGTTTTCCTCTGTTCATAAAGGGAGTCCGCTGCCCCCCCCCCCCCAGTGCTCTTGCGCCCAAAAGCGGCAATCTTATTAGCCACCAGTACTGTAAATCGCATTTTTCCCTTTCCAAAGGTCTACGGGGTTGACGCCAGACTTAAGGTCATACTTCGAGTTAGACTCGTGGGTTTTAATGGGACTTAAGTAAGCCATGCCTAACTTGCTTTATGTGCGATTAAGTCTGGATCCAGACCTAGAGCTTTCCTCTGCTTTCAAAGAAACCTGTGGCCTTTTCTTTCTTTTTTCCCCTTCCACGCTCAAAACCCAAAATAGTATAATTGAGCTATCTTGATGCAAGGATTTGGAAGGCTGCGCGCTCTCCCCTCTTTCTTTCCCCCTTCTTTATTTCTTTTCTGTCGAATTTGAAACTCTCCCTGATGTCCTCCTCGGTGGGTTAGAACAGAAACAGGATTAACTTTCTCTGACCTTAAAAGAAGGTGACGTTTCCATCTAGCGATTCCCAGCAGCAAGAAACAGATTCCTGGAGGAGGGGGGGGGCCGGGTTGGTGGGGTTGGTTGGAGGGGTTGAAAGGGGTGGAGAGGGTGAATTGAAAAGAGGGCAGCTTTAACAAAACAAAAGATGGCCACAGGGTTGCCAGAGATAAGATTGTCCCGCCAAACAAGGAGAGAGAGAGACAGAGAGAGAGAACTCCTTTCGAAGTTACTGATTAAAACTGGGAGGTGGGAAATAAGGGGGTGTTGGACGGAGAGAAAGGAGACCCTCACACACATACGAAAAAATAAGCCCTTTAAACCTCGAAGTGAAGAACGTGGTAAATTCGACAGCGGTTGCTATGTTAGTCTGTAGCAATTATTATATCATCATTATCATTATCATTATACATTGGTCAACTGCACGGACGTTTTCCTGGACTGGAGGGTCAGCTCCCTTACAGGAAAAGCTGGTGGTGACTGACTGCACAGTAATGTGTTAGCCTTGCAGGTGTCACAGGACTCTTGGGTTGAGTTTCATCCCCCGAAATGTGCGATCTTTCCTGGCTAACTGACTTGACTTGCCAGCCTGTGAGTCAAGGAACTTCGAAGCTTTTGGGGGGAAGTGGCTCTGTCCTCCCTTTCCTCTTGCGCCCATCTCGGTTCTTTGCACGCCTTCTTCTTTCCCACATCCATTTATTCCTCCCCCCACCCCACCCAAGCTTTTTGGCGTGAAGAGAGAGAGGGGGGAAGATGGAGAGAGGAGGGCACCGTGCCCCAAATCCTGACAGGTGGCCAGTCTTAAGACTCACCAGTTTCAAGGCCACCATTGCCTTGATCATACCTTGAGGCCAGATTTGCAAACCACCTCATTTTGCACCAATAAAAAAAGCTCCACCCAAAAAAGCGCTTCGGACTACCAATCCTGCCTCCCTCTCTCCAACCCCAACTGCATTAGCCTTCAGTAGGAGCAGGATCCCTCCCTTGTCCAATCGCTTTCTTCCTTTCCTTTCTCCTTTTTGTTCCTCTGGCATTTACAGCCGCATAAATCTTGCAATTCGCACCCAACTCTTTCTGCCCCCATCTCCCCGCCTTTCTCCAACCAAGAAAGCTATGAAACTCTCAAACTCCACTTCGGACACATTGCAAAACTTCTCCCTCTTGCCAGAAGAAGCGAGGATCTTCCTCACTTCCTTACCTAGATCATCTCCTAACGTTGACCCCTGGGGTGGTGGGCGGAAGTAATAGGATTTTAAAATTCATTCACTTTGAATTGGAACCCAAGATCTCAGCGCCTCTTTTGAGCCTTTCTAAAGGGGCGAGCTCATTTCACCAGCCAAAAAACCCTTCTCCCCTTCGCGTTCACCGTCCGGACATTTCCCTGAGGTGCCTCTGCTTTAAATACAGCCACAGAGAAAGCGAGTCCACCTCCTCTTCCAGATGTTAAACGCAGCGCCAGTATCTGGGCGGCATCTCCCTAGGCCTTCCTGCAAACTCCTTCCTGCTCTTAATTCGCCAGTATTATTATTATTATTCATGTTCCACGAAGTCAAATCGGAGAAGCTCGCCAAATGCAGGAAAGCCTGGTCTACGGCATTTCGGTCCTTTGTCGCCCCGCCAGCCCCCACCTCCCCAAAACAAAATGTGAAGAAAAGGAGAGAGAGAGAGAGAGAGAGAGAGAGAGAGCGAGCATGACTTACCCCTGAATGGAGGTTGGAGTTGGGGCAAAGGGGAACCTGAAGGAAGGATCATAGGACTGTTTGGGAGCGGAACAGGGCAGGCAGATGCGCTTCCTAAGCAAAACTGATGGCCAGCAACGCTATAGATTAGCATGGGGTCACCAGCACACACGGATTTGATCAATACCCCCGCACTCACGTGCCAGATGGTTTTGGGAGAGGAGAAAGAAAAGGAAGAGAAGGAGGGGAGGGGGGCAGAAAAAAACCTTCCAAACTAAAAAAAAAGAGAGAGTTCAGGTCCACCCAACGCCTGCCTCCCTAGTATCCCACAGACCTGTGGAAGGGTTTTAAAAATAAATATAAAGACATTTCAACCAACAAAAAATATCAGTGACACGTTATTCTTTGCTTCTTCACCTCCTAGAAAAAAATATTGCCCCTGCCCCCGGATTAAATGTTGAGATTTCACTCTCTCCCCCTCTGCAGCAAATACAAACTCGCTTAAAATATCTATTGCATGCGTGTATCTATTGGGCGGCGTGTTTAAACACGTGTACCCGAGGATTTAGTTTGTTTCAAAGGAGACCAAGGGGTTAAAAAATATCAGAGGGCACCGATGGACCTTCACAGAGAATCATCAAGCACACCGTGTACAATTAGGTTGTTCCCAACAGGAATGAAGGCTTTGCACACGAGGACACAGCCATTCGTGCTGCACACGTGCACACGTGTGTGAGAGAGAGAGAAAGCGGGGTGGGGTGGGGTTCAGCCTGTGATCTTTCCACACACCTCGCTCAGGACGCGAGCAAAAATACTACTAGATGCCTGAATGCCTATCAGATAAAAACATATACAATGTATGTCAACACATTCATCGAATAGCATTAAATTGTGTGTGTGTGTTTAAACATTTCATTGGGGAGGGGGGGATGATGAATTGGTGGTTAAATCTCCCTCACTGGAATGAATGGGACTTGAGTGCTCAAATTTGACTTCAATCTGCCCACGATTGCTCCTCGAATATTGCACGCTGGTGTCATGATGACATAGATTTTTTGAGAGAGAGAGAGAGAGAGAAAGGTTAAGTATATTTGGAGAACACACACACACGCCTTTTAATATAAAGGACTGAAGAGGAGAAAGGTTAAATTCTGACACAAGCATGCAGGATTCCTCTTACAATTATAGAAAGACGGTGAGAATATTTGATATCAAAACAGTATTTTATATCCTTCCCCACGCTTGCTATTGGATGCGTAAAAACAGCAAGCCTACGTCTCCTATCATTGGGGTGCGTGCAATTTTTCTCAAATATTAATAAGGGGGGCAATTCCTGAGTTACTCTTATTTACTGCTTTTGGTGGGGGGAGAAAGAAATTAAAATAGCACGGTAAAAAGCAAAACACTTATACTGATCCAAGAGCATGTTTCCTTTTTTTAAACGATTATTATTATTGCTGATAATAAAGGCATATATATATGGTGACGCTTACAGCTGAGGTTCCCAGGACTCCTGCGAGCAAGGCGTTTTATGTGTGTTTGTCAGTCATTTAATGCCCTGGATAGGAAACGATCCTAATCTGAAATAATCCTGTGTCGTGTGCCTCTTTCCCTACAAAAGGGGTGTTGGAGACTGTTTTCATTTCGCCTTCGAGACGCTCAGCGTGGAAATCCAGAGCCGAGTCAAAGGCATATTCAGCACACAAAGAGCCGCTTGTCTGCCTGATTCCATACAGAAAGCAGAGTATTGATCCGGAGGTGGGAACATGCAACACCTCACCTTTAAACTCTGGCCCACGTGACCAGGGAGCTCAGCAGCCAGAAAACAGGTTTATTTTTCCAGGTTGATCTTCTCCCACCCTAGAGAACCTCAACCCGCCATGCCCACCCCCCAGGTTAAGAGAATAGGGGCACTCACTGCTCCCCTTCTTCCCTACAGGAAAATGTAGATGAAAAAGGCCGCAGAGATCTTCAAAAAACCAGCCTTGGGGGTTCCTGGGTGCCGCATGTTTACGCTTTGCTCCAAATAGGGGTTCTCTTCCCCCTCAAACCTTACAAACGGATGGATCCTGATTTTGACAGAGTTTGGAAGCTGGCAGCGCAGTCTAAGTCATGCCTACTTAGAAGTAAGTCCTATTGAATGCAGCGGAGCTTACTCCCGGGTAAATTGGCGTTGCGGCCTGAGTAGCACAAAAGAGCAGGTGGAGCGATCTGCTGGGGCTTCGTCCGATTTAGCGCAGCGTCACGTGTGAATGGAAGCACCTTTTCGAGTAAGTCGGCTGGAGATCAGTTGGACTTAACTTTCCGGGAAACGGGTTTAGGAGCGCGGAGTGCTGCTAATCCTAGCTAATCGTTTCGATGTGCGGTGGATCCCCCTGTTCTGAGGCGAGTCAGAGAGGCTTTCTTTCAGGAGCAAAGCGGATTCGCGCCCAGGAATTGCGATTGGCTCCTCTGGAGTCAGCTGTAAAAACACCTCCTTCTTAGTTTAAAACTGACACGTGGATGGATTTCTCTATTTCTACCAAACAGGAGATTCTCCCTCTCAAGCCCCAAACTGAGCACGTTTCAAAAGTGTTCCTCCCACCCCCATTTTAGAGGATTTATGTTGTTGTCAGGATTAAGATTTTAATGGGGAGGGAGTTGAAATAATTCTAATGGCTTTTTATTCTGCTGTGACATACCAAAACCAAACAAAAAAAATCTAGAAATTTTTTTTGCAAGAAATGTAGATGCGTGCCCATAAATTAATACACATTCCCTATCTAAAAATGTTTATGGTGACGTTTCTATTCTTTCCTCGCTCCTTGGAGAAATCCCCTTTCCACCCTCTGTTTAACCTCATAATAACCGTGTGAGGTAGACTGGGCTGAGAGACGGTGCTCCACCAACAATTAAAAAATGCAGCAGGATGATTGGGTAAGGAACTGGACTCCTGACCCCCTGAACCCAACTCAGAAAGGTTGCATCTCAAAGTGACTTCCTTCAGTTTAATCCCTATTATTATTATTATTATTATTTCTTATGGAAGGGGTTATACTACCCACATCAAGATACAGGTAATATTAGAGAAATTTATTTTAGCACAAAATATAATGTGTTTGTTTGTTTGCAAGCCTAATCCTATTTGATCATTTAATACCACAGAATTTTTAAAAAGGCTATCCGGAAGGACTGATACCCCAACGTCTATTGAGTTAACCTTGTTGCTTTACCTGAGAAGCTGGGACTTTCCTTCCCACCGCTGTCTAGGACTCTTGCACCCACGTAGGGCTTCAATTCTGAAAGCGACTGAACCTCTCTATCCTCAAATTATCCACTTATCATCATCTTCATTATTCCTATCACTACCGTTGTTAGCCTACATTCAAGAGGACTACTCCAGAAGTGAGTGGTTTGAGAATTTACCGCTCCCGAGGCCAATACTGAATCAATTTCAGGTCCTTGTAGTCTTGATCCTAGGCATGTTTACTCAGGAATTAACCTCGTTGGGTTCTGTGGAGCCGCCTCCTAAGTAAGCGTGCATAGAGTTGCAGCCTATGGCTTCCATTTCCAGCGAATTTACGTGGGAGACAGTCCCAATCCACGCAGGGTTTACTTCAGAATAAACACGCTTGGGCTCAGGCCATATGTATTCATACTAAGGGCTTTACGTACGAGTAACCCGCCCTCTCCCATACTCAAACCTTACTTAGGGGCAAGTCCCATTCAAATGATAATACCAATGAAATCCTATTGAGTTCAGTGGCCATTATTATTATTATTATTATTATTATTATTATTAACTTTTGAGTAATCACGTCTCGTTCGAAGTCCTGTTTTTTGTTTTAGCATGAGGGTCTCAAGCGTCCTCGAGATTTGGGGGAGGGGCGCTACTATTTCCCCCCCCCTCCGTGTCCCCCCCCCTCAAAAGCCCCACAAGTCCATGTCACTGGTCCAAAGATTTATTTTGCAAGCTTTTCTCAAGTTTTTTGTATTTTTAAAAGTGGGGCTTCTCTTTCTCCGCCCCGCCCCCCCGCAACCCACCATTGTTTTCCGAGCCAAGTTTTCTCTAACAGCTGGAAGTGGTTGGAAGGGACTGTCTTAAGAGACCCCCCGCTCTTCTTTTGACAGCTGATCAAAAGAAAATAGGTCACGCTTTTCAAACTTATGTCCCTCCTGCCCTTAATTACTGTCTCTTTAAACAAAGGCAACATCTGCGCAGCCTCAACCTGCTCTCTCGCGCGCCCCCCCCCCTTGGAGAAGCTGTTACTTCTGGAAGGGGCTGCGCGCTCTCTCGTTCTCTCTCTCTCTCTCTCGGCGGCTGGCTAGTGCAAGGAGGCTGGCACAGAAAATGCGAGGGATGGATGCGTACTAGTGGGCGGGCAGGCAAGGGCTCTGGGAGGACCCCAAAGCTGCAATCCTAAATAAGCATCGCGACTGGAGCAAACATCCCAGGGCACTGAATGGGGTCTTAACTGGTGGGTCAATGCGCGTGGGATGTGACTGCAAGCAGCCTTGCTAGGGAGTAACCCTCGCCATGTCCAGTGAGGGAGGAAACATGCATAGGATCCCACTGCGACGACGCTAGCTAGCCGAGCTGGATAGGGTTTACTTCCGAGTAAGCACGCTTAGGGCTGCACCTTCTCAGGTCCGGAATTGGCCCAACCCAATTCAGCGGAAGCCCTCAATTTCTGAATTTTTTGGGGGGGGAATGATTTGGGGCTGGGCCGCTTTCAAGATCGACTCCTTACTCAGGAGTAAATTCCTTAGACATCAATTTTACTTGATGTGGGTGATCTACAGGAACACTTCCCTTGGGTCAGCTTGCAAGCGCCATCCTATATGTTTACTCAGAAGTAAGTCCGACTGCGTCCAATGGGCCTTACAGTAGGTATACAGTACAGTATAGGACTGCAGTCTTCATTTATGTTTGAGTCTCGGTCCTTTCAATGGCCTTTTATTTCTCTTGTTTGAAGGCATGCTTACTCAAAAACTGAGTTCCATGATGCTTACTCGCAAGTGAATGTACATTGGACCGTAATTTTTTTATTAAAAAGTTCGGTGTAGAACGTGCAGAGGGATCTTAGACATATTTGCACTCAGAAAGGCAACCCACGAGCTTATTAGGGCTTACTCCAAAGTAAATCTGTAAAGGATTTGCTTGCACGAAGTCAAGTTCCTCCTTGCAACCCTGGGCGAAGTGCCCAGAGGAGGAAGCTCCGTCGAACTTAGGGAGAATTTGCTTGCGAGTAAATAAGCTAAGGTAAAGGTTCCATGTCTTGATATGAATCGGGCCAACTGCATCCCTTGGGGTTAATCTTCCGGAGTCTCTGTGTTTCTGGTTATTATGAGCTGTTTGGAAAATAACCACCAAAAGCACAGGTTTGTAATAATCATAATCACCATAAATTTGTATTTTCTTTATTATCTGCTAATTAAACTTGAGGGTGTTCAAGAGCAGGCCTTTGGCATTTGTTTTAACTATCTCTCTCTCTCTCTCTCTCTCTCTCACACACACACACACACACACACACACACGAAATCTCATTAAGGTTCCTGAAGACACAGCTACTGCAAAGCTTCTGCCATGTTGGGGGTCCCTAACACAAGACAGCCAAGCGTCTCCTTGGATTTTCTCACATTAGTGAGGTTTACATTCGAGGAAACCGTGCTTTTTATAAGCTTGCCATCCTATCCTACTTCCGAAGGAGGGTGTGTGTGGAGCTGAGCTCCACTAAAATCAAGGCTCTTGCTGCCAAGGACAGCTAAGCGCATTGGCCACGATCCAGCCTAAATTAAATGCCTTGTAAGTCCCCATTGCAGGCGCTGATCTTTCCCATTGAAACCAATGGGCGTTTTAGCAGCGGCGCTTAGCTGCGGATGAATCTTGGCCGTTGGCTTCGCGACTGGATTGCCCTTGCAATACACGTCGATGTAAGAGCGCAGCTCCGACGCGTTCAGGAGCCGGTGTGCATGCATAGGATTGCGATACTTGCATATACGCGCGCAAAAAGGCGACCTGGAAAATTTGTAAATTTAATGTTTCGTGCCCCCGGGGCAGAGACCTCTCTATTCCTTGCGTCAGTCTGCTTAAGCTCCATACGCCCTAACAGTTTAAGGATCGAGATGCCAGTTTCATAGTCCATAATTGCAGAGCTCATTCGGCGCAGACTTTCACCGAAGCCTCTTTTTGGAAAGAGGCGAGGAGGAGGAGGAGACTGGGATGGAATGGCGAAGCAGCCCAGCTAGAGGCATTCTTGGGACTGCCGAGATCTCCATAAAGGGCCATCCCCTCTCCATAAATAGCGCATATATTATGCATATTCACACACACCCCCTTGTTGTTGTTTGTGGTTGCAACGAGGCAGGCGCCGCCGCTGCCGTCTACCTCGCGGGGAGCTGCAGCCTCGGCCGCCACGCTCCTCAGCGAAGATCAACCCGCCGCTAATGAGCGTGGCTGCTGCATAATGAAGCCAAGTTTGGCTAAGTTCTGTGGCGCTCCAGGAAGGCGGCGCGGGGTGAGGGGAGAAAGAAGGCTGAAAGATTCTCCGGATCCAAAGGCGATCGGCTAGGATCACAAGCTCTGTTCTCTTCCTCCCCAAGAGACAGTCGGTTTTATGCATTTATTATTATTGACGATTTTTATTTTTTTCTAAAAACCAGCCATCCAGCAAAGCCAGCCCAAATATTCCCAGTAAAAAAAAAACAAAAAACCCAGAACATCACCTTTGACGGACTTTGAGCTGCTATAGAAAGGCAATGCTTGGGGAGGGGGCTGGGTGTTTGGTGACGAAGAGCCGGATCCTCTGGCTGTCTTACTCGAAGGAAACCCCCTAGGACTCCAGGGAGGCTCGCTTTCAGGCAGGCGCGCAGAGGCGTTGCAGCCCTGGATACCTGGGTTGGCGGTGGACGGGCTCCCTAAATAAAGACCGACCATGAAAATGCGCGCGGGGGGGGGGGGGAATCACTAACATAGACATGTGTGTGTGTGTGTGTGTGTGTGTGTGTGTGTGTGTGTGTGTGTGTTGTAGCCTTTAACGTTGCCTAGCTGGTGCCTGCGCCTAACAGAAAGGAGAGCTGGAAAAGAGATTTCTGCCGGGCATCGCCACCCCTTTTAGGTACCCACTTAACCGCCTCTGATTAGTGTCTTGGCGGTACCCCGTTATTTTGTTTTTATTTCCGAGAAGGGAGGCAGCTCCCGGGCGTGGCTCTCCTCTCCCCCCCATCTTCAGCAGCTCCCTCTCCCGCGTTCCCTTTGTGCGCGCCGTGCGCCCTGCTTGCGCCTGGGCGCGGAGAGAGAGAAAGAGAAAAGCAGGGCTGGCCAGCTCCGTCTCGATACCCAAGGCAGGAGGACGCTGCATCTTTAAATTCTCTCTCTCTTTCATTCTCTCTCTCTCTCTCTGCCTCTCTCCTTGGCGTTTGATTCCAGTGCCTGGGAATCTTCAGGCAAGCTTGAAGCCTCCCGGCGCGTCGCTCCTCCTCCTCGCCTCTGCCATTGGCCGGGCTCCCGCAGACCTTGAGCCGGCTGGCTCGACGAGGCGTCCTGAGTGGGCGATCGCCTCGTCCATCCGTCCGCAGAGCCCGCCTTTTCCCCGGGGCTGGGCTAGGTTGATGGGAGGCGAGCCTCGATCGCAACTCTGGACAGCTCCAGCTACCCAAACAGACGACGTAAGAGCAGGAAAGGGCTCGGACATGGCGAGGCGGCTGCAGCGGCGCTGGCCAGGCTGACGGAGAGGCTGGTGGCTGCCCTCCCTTCTCTCTCTCTCTCTTTCTCTCCCCCACCCCCCCTTCTCTCTCTCTCGGCTCCCCTCCCGCCCCCCACACGCACTCACCACACAATTCACACACGCACACAACTGAGAGGCCTTATATCGACACCCCCCGTCCAAAAAAAAGAAAAGAAAGGAAAGGAAAACCCAACACAGCAGGAGCGTCAGCAGCAGCATCCAGCATCTTCCTCTGGCGAAGCGCCGCGGCTGGAGCTTTTGATCCCCCCACCTCCTCCCCTTCCCCAGAGCCAAGCGACCCCCGGAGCTCCGTCTGCCTGCCTGCCTTCCCCCTCTGCACCCAGCCCCGCGAAGCCCCCTGGTGCCGACCACCCCTCTCCATGGACTGAATGAAGACTGCGTGCACCTCCTATCGATGCCTAACCAAAGAGCTGGACAGCTGCGCCATGAACCCGGAGATGACAATGGAGACGCTGGGCCCCTTGCACGGGCCCTCGAGCCATGAGCAGGAGCTGATGGGCAGCCCCAGCCCCCACCACCACCCCAGCAGCCGGAGCGCCGGATCGCTCCGGGTCCACCCGCCGCCGCCGCCTCCGCCGCCGCCGCCTCCAGGCCCTCCGCCGCCGCCTTCCCACCAGGACTTGGCGTCCGCCTCGTCGCGTTCAGCCATGGTGACCAGCATGGCCTCGTTGCTGGACGGCGCGGGGGACTACCGCGCGGAGCTGTCCATCCCGTTGCACCACGCCATGAGCATGCCGTGCGACTCGTCTCCTCCGGGCATGAGCATGACCAGCACCTACACCACGCTGACGCCGCTGCAGCCCTTGCCCCCCATCTCCACCGTGTCGGATAAGTTCCACCACCCGCACGCGCACCACCACCCGCACCACCACCACCACCACCCGCACCACCACCCGCACGCGCACCACCACCACCACC